TGTACTTTTAACGATTTTACCGTTTTGACGAAACTTGATATTTCGCACTCGCCGCCTTCCGGTTACGCGAAACTAAATGCCCAACTCGCGAGACTGCAAATTATCATACGTAACATATGCATGACACGCGCAACAAGCGTAAACACATCCATGCATTATTTAACATTTCAGTATATGTTTTACAATAATAGGGTGTTCAAATGCATATAACAAAGTGAACTTAGCTTAGAAAAAGGCTGAGTGTTAGTATTCGAGATATTTTTTAAATTCAAAATTGGTATTCGAAAATGCCTCTTGCTCCAACCCTACCTCTTGCTTCCCGAACAACTATCTAAACTAAACTAAATAAAACTAAACTAAAAATAATTTTATGTGATTATGCAAATTTGAATATATTGAATGGTGGCTTACTATTTTAAGCATACTGCAATTCGGTGTTTAAAATCACTGCCAACCATGCCAATCTCTAATTAGCTGTACTTTTACCGATTTTACCTTTTAACGAAACTTGATATTTCGCTGCCACCACTTCCCGATTACGCGAAACTAAATACCCAACTCGCAAGACTTCAAATTATAATACGTTACATATGCAAGACACGCGCTACAAGCATAAACGAATCCATGCATTATTTAACATTACAGTGTATGTTGTACAATAACACACTATTCGAATACATATAATATTAACTTTAGACAAGAAAATAACAAGTCTTAACATGATTGTTATCGCATTGAAGTACAGGTTGTTTTTAAATTGCAAAGGTTATTCATCGATACCGTGTATAGTTTGTTGGCCCTACATGTGTATTGAATGAGGTAAAAAATTAAATGAAAACTGAATAAAATAAAACAAAACCTGGTTAAGATATATTGAGAAATGGCTTTATAACAAAATTAGAATTATAACAGGACACCATAACCGAGTAACTATCTCAATAAAGTACATAGAATTCTAAAATTTGTAAATTACAAACTGAGAACTCATCGATACCATAATATATTGTTGTTTAGGCCGGGACAGATGTTTTAAATAAAGTGATAAAACATGAATGAATACTGCTGAACAAAATAAAATAAACCGTGTTAAAATATATTGAGAACTGACTTCCATCGTGACTTTATGAATATCCTATATTATAATTCTTTGAGGTTGGACAATGTATCGTTGCTATGGCCCGGAATGGCCAACCGGTTAATCGGTTAACCGATTTCAGATTGTTTGCGGTTACGATTAATTTTTATCGTGAACTGTCATCCCAAGCATTGGTCTTTTTACAATGTTCGAACATATATGATTTATTTACCATAACTTTTAATTCTTTTTCCAAATGTTCGGATTTATTTATTTCAAATTTTATGGCATTTTTTTCAAAAAGTAACAAATAACTTAAAAACTATGAGCTCAGGTGATGGAAATGGAAAAGCCACAACAAGATTTCTATCGCAATGAAGGTGTTATTATCCCGATAAGCCTTCAGGTTGGGAAGGTTACATCGTACAGTGGTTCAAACAAACTTAAAATATTTATCTTTTCCTGTCGTTTTCCCGGACCGTGCTCACTTGAATTGATTGAATATCCGTGTGAATCCTCATATACAGGTTTAAAAAAGTTAGGCAGAATTGAGTCAAAATTTTTTTGTCATGGCAACGGTAAAAAAGTAACTGCTAAAAAACGTCAATCGTGAAATGTTTAAATAACATTTCAACGTATATCAATAATATTAAATGGTGTCAGTCGTTAAAAGTTTTAAAGAGGAATTTCATCTTAACTTCTGTTAATTTTGCGTTATTTTTTTCACACCCTGTATATTGAGATCTCTGTTGCAAGTATACACTTATGCATAGCTCTCAACTGGCGTGTAAGCCGATTATTTCTACTTTAGTTATTGGATTAAGAGGCTATGACCTTGCATTAAATAATTCAACTTGCCTAAAATAAAATATTCATCCCTATTGAATAGGCCAAGAATATGCAAACTACGGCCGGCGTGTGACCCCTTCCTTACCTTTCAGAAAGTTGAAAATTTACATGCAAAAACAACATACAAAATTATATTTACTCTTGACTTTTTTAAATTATCTAAACTATGAAATATTAAATAATATTAATGTTTGTTCATCTCCAGTTTTACATTGTCATCCACTATGACTATTAAGTTCGACACTTTCATAGCGAATCGGAAGATTAAATGTGACGTCACCGTCAATTTTCCCAATACGTCAAATTACCTGCGACTTTGCAAAAATATTTTCTCGTCCCATAGGATTAGGCATCTGAGTTTGCTAGAACGATCAAATGCCATTTATAATTAACTCGAATATCGTTAACTCGACAATTTGATGGTATTAAGCTATCCCTATCCTGCAGTTGGAACATAGTATATCTCTTATATTTATATCAATTTATTTATTTTTCAATTGTGTTCAGTCAGTAGTTTGTTTATCACCAAATTGAAAATACACTTGATACAAACAAAAAACACGAAAATGGAATTTCCCTGTGAAGGGTGACGCGTAAAAACCAAAGTTGTTATCGAGCAGTGACATTCGTGATAAAAGTCCAACTTTAATTCAGGTTGAATAGAAAGTACAAATAGCATTGTACAATGTTTCTCGCACGACGGAAATAAAGAACTGAAATTGATGCCAAATCTATTCCTGAAGTCAACAAAAATTCTTCTGTTCTACAGAACTTCCAGTACTAATACCGAATTGGTCCGTATTTTTCTAGCTCAGGTCGGCTCAAATTTTCAAACGGAAAAACTCGGCCCGATCCCCGAGACCTCTGAGCGGCTGAACGTAATATTTATAAGATGAAACTTTATTTATCGCTTATACGAAATGAACTCATTACATTAAACGCATATGTATGTTATGAGTTTTGAATTATTCAAAAGTAAACGGAGACAATCGATATTTATATCCGTTTATGTTGTCATAAGCAATTTTCTTTTCATTACATTAATTTTCATCCAAGAAATTGTTTGTTCATAATGCACAATATACTGTTATAAATGAGCAGTAAAATACAAGTAATTTTACAGTAGAAATAGAGATGGGTAGCACATGCTGTGCAGTGGCAAGAGTACAAAAATTTGTCTCCTATTAAGTTTGTTGTTGATTTTTCGCAATATGAGAAAATAAATATAAAATTCCCCATTTTAATTTAACCTGTACGTTTTAAAGCTTATTTCTAAGATCTGATAACTTTGCTCGCATGCTTGTTTTGCCTAAATTTAATTCTCGCATCATCTGTAATCATTTACCCTCGTTTGAGGTTAAACTATCTTGACGCGAACAACTAGGTATCTACTAAAGTATTTGGTGTCGATAAAGAACGCGCGGTTGTTCTCCATGTAAACCTTGCAACCATTGTTCGCTTATTTTTTCCAACCTGTCTTCACAATAATCCAGTTCGTCTGAAGTAGGGTGTGCAACATGCGTCCCGCGGACCACAACCCGGCCTTCTAAGCCCTTTAGTGTGGCCCCTGTCAACACTTAGATGTTTCCCCATCAAGCATAAAATCCTAATTCGACAGTTTATTCTTAAAAAGTCGCTCACATGGGTAAAAATACATATTGTTTTTATGCTTTTTTCGCTGGCGTTTTGCGCGATGCTTTTATTACTGCAAGGCTGAGCATTCTCTTCTTTTGCGTTGCCCAGCTAAATGTCTGAAGTTGGCCCACCGACAAAAAATGTTGCACTCCCTGGTCCAAAGCATTTGTTATTCGAACAAATCTTCCACAATTGACTCGACCCAATATTGCAGTAGCCAAATAGAGAGCATTGCATTGCAACAGATTCACCGACAAAAAAAAAACTAACAAACATACAAAAAATATATTTATTCTTCATCACCGTTTTCTGTGCAGATGTCATGATTTAAAATGAACAAAATATAAAAATAACATAAAACGATTTTCATTAGTAAAAAGTAACATAACATAAAGTAACATAAAGTAACATAAAAACATTTGTTTATAGTAAAACAATCTTTGTAAAAGAGAGTTAGTAAATATGTTCCTAAGTTATATATATACAAAACCATTTATGATATTTACTTCATTCTTGTTGATTTCCCGACAGTGTGACTTGAATTGAATCAAGTTTGATGTTCAATTCTATCAACTGTCAGCTTTGTCCCAGTGATAAACTTATGTATAGCGTATACCAGGACTACTCAACTGGCGGACCGCGGTCCGAATCCGGACCTTTCGGGTATTCGATTCGGACCGCGCCTGATTATTTATTTTGAATCATTAGCCTCACTTCTAAGGTTTCCTTTATAAAATCACTTTCATAGATTTAAATATATATGGAAAGAACTATAATGCCATAATAAACAATCTTAATTAGCTAATAATCATTAGTCGTCCGAGGACGTGCGTGTTTAAGGATGCCGAAATATAATTTCTGGAAAGACCGGACCCAAATACTTTTGAAGTTTTGTATGCGGATCTTCGGAAAAAATAGTTGAGTAGCCCTGGCGTATAGCATAGCGTGTGTCAGTGTTTTTTTGCAAATTTTCTATCTCTTCCTCGAGCGAAAGTTTCACGAAAATATTAGCAAATTTAAGTGTATCTGATTCTTCACCACATGCAGGACCACTAAAACATTGTAGGGTGGGCCACAAATCTAATAAAAATTGGTGCTCCCGAAGTATGCGAACCAAGATGGCGGACATCGGAACGTAACATGGGTAACAGGTTAGGGTTAGGCGATAATTTTTTTCCAATTTTCCTTAATTTAGTCCTATTATCAGTTCGAAGACTAGCCAAGAGCCTCCCGTAGTATTTATACCTAAAATTATGGCCTAACCCTAACCCAGTACACATATTACATTCCGATGTCCGCCATCTTGGTTCGCATACTTCGGGAGCCCCTAAAAATTGATCGGCCTGAAACTTAGTTAAACTTGATTGAATATAAAAATAAATGATAATTCTGTGTCTGCTACTATATGGTAATTTTTATTTTAATTATTAAAGTGAAAGCGCCTATCTTTGCGAATTTTTTGTTTTATTTGAAGTTTTTCCACAGTACTTGTTTGTGCAACGAAAGTAGGCCAAGATAGAAAAACGGCTGATAACCACTGTTATAACCCAATTCGATACAAAAGCAATAAAACTAACCAAAGATATTTAGCCCTTGTTCACTGAGTAACAGCTCAAGTGGCAGTACTACGTGATTCACATGAACAGCAGAAAATTAAGGTCTGTCAAATTATATTTAATTAAACACGGTCGTACATGTCAGACTCCTCATCTAAATATAAAAATGTAGGAAGCAATACAGAAAATTCACAAGAAAATTAGGTACCCCCGTAGTGTGTATGCCAAGTTAGGGTTAGGCCATAATTTTATTACGATTTTTCCTATTTTAGTTCTATTACGAGTTCGGCGACTGTCTGTGTTATCCAAGGGAATATACCCCTGACCATAAGCTTTAGTCCCTTTACACAACTTGATTTAGTTACCTCCATATTGGTACACCAATACATACATCGATACATTGAGCGCCGAAAATTATGAATTATGTTGAACTCATGTTTATCTGTGGGTGAAGCTCGGGTAACTGCTATTAGTTTCATCTTTTCTGTTCATTTGTTGCTGGAGCAGTTTGTCTTACAGTTGCGGCTTTAGGACGCACTAGTTTTTCATCGGGTTTGGCTTGGCGTTTTACAGTGCCGGGGGAGTTACTACCTGCTTGCTGTTTTTGGTCACTGTTTGCAGCGGGAGCTAAGCGCTTATTTGCCAACTTTGGGGACTCGGTGCCAATGGGCTTAGTTGAAGATTTATCCGAATCTTTATTGACGGGTTTGTTTGCTTGGCTCTTAGAGTCTGAATTTGTTGCTTTTTGAGCTGAGGAAGTATTTATGCTAGTTTTTGTGGTGGTTGAAGTTGTCGAAGAGTTCGCATTGCCGTTTGGCTTCGACGTAGAACTATTTGTCTTATTTCCAGAAATTATTTTTGTTGACGCCATCCCACTGGAATTAGCTGCGCTCGTTTTCTGCGCCGCGTTACCGGTACTTTTTGCAGTCGAAGATGAGTTTGTAGTAGAATTGTTCGCGTTTCCTTTCGCCGTTGATTTATTTGTACCTTGTTGGTCGTTTTGTTTTGAACTTTGAGTCTGTGGTGCTTGTTTTGTTGTTGTTGCGTTTTGTTTTGCTTGTTTGGCAGCGTTGCCGTTTGTTAATGAATTTCGTTTGCCAGAACTCGCCTTCGATTCCTCAGCGTCATTACGAGCTGAAATTAATATATAGTTGTCAGAATAGAAGGCGAAATAGAACTGATGAAAGGGCAGTGACACAAAAAATGTTTGCCATCTTTCTAATGCGTATCCTTATAAACACGGCGTAATAAATTGGGTAAGCAATACCGAACCCGGAAGATCACGGCATTTCCAAAAAATAGGTCTTTACATATTGTAAATGGTATAACTAGCTGATTGCAAAGGACTCTGTTTCCTTTAAAAGAAAAGACGGAATTGGGATCGAATAAAAATTTTTTTGGAGAAATATCCAAAATACGTTAAAAATAATTTGCTAGCGAAGAAACTAATCGAGGGTTGCAGAAATCATACAAAGTTATATTGATGTGTGATGAAATGTTCAGCCAACTTATTCAAATGATTTTTCTTAATTTCCAAACTGTTATTTGACGTTCTTGACAATAAGAATCTTTATTGATTTAGGTCAACAGTAAAAAATGCAGGGATTCAGCTCTCCTCTATTCATGACCACCAGTTAAAATCTATGGATATGTCTATGCACCTGAGTCCATGCACAAAAAACTTAAAATTATAAATAATCCAACTGGTAATACGGCTCAGTCCTGTCGGCCTGCCTACCACACCACCACACAAAAAACAATACGGAAATTTCCCAATACTTCAGGGCGACTGGTCATATGCTATCAATATGCCTTTGTATCTTAGTCTATGCATTTGAAACGTTAAACGCTAAATTACCTACTCCCCTATCCGACTTAGTCGTCTAATCAAGCGATGTGGCTTGGTTTGTACACGACGAAACTGTCATTCGTATCCAGGATACACATGAAAATTTTTGAAAACATATTAACAGAAATGAGTAAATTTCCACCTGAGTTCTTCGTGTCTTCCTGACTCTGGTGACATCCGGCTGCAACATGAGTCTTCAACAAAACATGTCTTCCACTGCTGCATCGTTGTACGCGAACTTCTTTCTTTTCTGGAACTTGCCGTTTGCCGCCTTTGGTTCTGCAAAAATATCAGCTTCACTATATCATCTATGGCCAGTCGTAAGATGGCGCTAGTGTGTCGGGTCTGAAGTTTATAGGTTACTTGAAATTTGTACAGTTATCAGCACCGGTATATAAGTTCACTCATGTTTTTCAGTCTATTTATTCACGGCTTCGATATTTTACCTCAGCCAACTAATTACTGTTTATTCTAAAATTAACCTCAAATTTGCGCTTACAAGTTGAATACCCACGGGAGACAAAAGAGGACATGGGCCACTTTCGGAGCATTTATTCAGTTTATTAGAACCAAAGACAAATATCCCGCATTCATTAAATACATTGTTACCAAGAGAGACATGGGAATTACACATGCATCGTCCACACACCGGGCAGACGATGTCGCCAAAATAGAGGCAATTCTCTCATAAGCTAGTAAATTTTACGATAAAAGTAATGACCAAGAGAATTCGGGGAAATTTGTTAAAATAATAGTTTGATAAATATATTTGAAATCTACTGAATAAGATGCCTGTATCCAGTAACAATAAGCCTCGTTTGATATTTTAATAAGCCACCACTTAAACCTGGCCTATTTTTTGTCTGATCAACAACAACGCCTTAGCAAAAACATTCTCTTGTCTTACTTTGTGTTAAAAAATATTTCATGGACAATTTAACTTCCGAGATCGGCTGCATTCAACGTGGTATGGTCGTAGGCGATGAGAGGGTAATCTTATTCGACTATTTGTATTTCGCAGTTGCTAGAGAAGAGAGCAAAATCAAATGAAACGGCGACGAAAAGCCTACGACACTCGGTATTCCCAGCCGATCACCTATGCAAGTACCAACCAAGCCCGGCATTGCCTAAAAAATGAGCAAATTGTCAAAAAACAACCTTATTTCCATCATTCCTTTATAGTACTCGAGTTGTTCGGTCACTTTCCGTAATTTTGTTTCCATCGAATCTCTCTCGCGTGTAATGAAGCGTACCGTTTCTTCATCCTTTTTACTTTTTCTCTCTCGTTTGTTGATTTCTCTCCCTTTTGCATTCAGGAGCTTCTTCAGATCTTCAGCCTAAATGTGATCAGTAAATTTTACTAATATACCTGCTATTCTTGTTGGTGGCTTTTCCCACCATCACGTCCAAATAACTGGTTTACTATACCCATACACTACATGTACTAATATGCGAACGAGAGGCTGTGGTTCGCCATATGGTTATGCTCTTTTGTCAGGTTCCCTATCCCCCATGATAAATAGAAAAATCCTATCCTTTCCTGATAAAAAGAATGCAAAAATTTCTCTCAGATCCTTCGCTTTGTGGTTAGAGCATCAGAATCAACTATGTTGACATGGTAGTTCAAAAATCTTGTCTAAACCCGTAAGCGGAAACCCAGACCTAACCCACGCATTACTGGTCTATTGTACAGAGCCGGAGAACGCCTAATAAAATGACCTTCTTTGCAACCCTACATCTGAATGAACTTGAATGAAATGTATAATCATTGTAAATATTGTAGATCTTTGTGTATCAACGACTGTTAGTCTGGAACCTTGTTTGAATTTATATATGTGCAAACCCCAACAGATTAAAGTATTTTATTTGGGTGTTAAGAAAAGTGACTAATTAAAAATAATTAATTACCTCTTGCTGTGCGGCCTTGCTTTTAGTCACCGCCTCTTTCAATTCTGCTTGTGTGACTTGAAGACTTTCTTCAGCGATTCGAAGAGCTTCGTGAACGTCCTGAATATCAGAATTCGGATTATCAGTGATTTAATCGTTTATATAGAGATGTTTCTTTGCTGAAGGCGTCAGCTTAGAGCCGGTTTTGTATGGAATACGTATCTTTGCCCAAATTTTATGAAACGCTTTTTAACCACGTTAAAGGTTTCTCCCAACCACCCAATTATAGCAATTGCGGTTCTAGTAGTCCACTCAGAAGACAAAACTTTTTTTAAAAAAAAACGAAAAGATTGAATTCAAAACTTCTATGATTATTCCAATAACCATATCGTTTTATAATTCCAATTTTTTTAACTTGATTTATTGCCTCACAATATTAAAACAATAAATTTTACTCAAATCATAAATTTGCTTAAAAGCTACAGCTGTGATCAGGTACAATTTTCGGACCTTCTGAAGTATGTGCACCAAGATGGCGCACAATCTGAACATACCAGGTTAGGATTCAGGTTATGCGACATCTTGGTGCACATACTTCAGGAGCACCCAATTTTCATCAAAATAACAATTTTTTGTGAACTCAAACTTCCACCAGGCTCATATTCCGACATTGACAAACATTTTGAATTAGGTTTCTAAAATTACCCACCACGATGTATAAGGGAGTGTTGTGAACTGCTTGTCGGAGGAAGTCTGACGAAAAGTTAAAGAAATACATTCGTATTAGTGTGTAGCAAGACTCTTGAATTGCATAGTACAGTTATGTTTATTCCTGCTACGGCATCGTTGCATTACAGCATATAGATCCACTAGCATAAAGGCATACGGCAGTGGTACCCAACCTTTCATGACTCGTGGTTCCCTTCCTGTGGCTTTAAGCACTGATGGCCTTCCTGTCCGCCATTACAATAGTCATTAGGGTGTTAATTTTGTTGGGATATTCCGAAACCCATTAGGTTCAAACAATTCATGCTCAATAACGTGAAAACACCATTTGAATTTACCTTATCGAGCAATGAAACTGGAAGAACGAGAAGTTTTCATGTAACGGGAAAAGTAAAATCAGTTTTGCGTCTAGAATTGTGGCCCCACTCCAACCCTTCTGTGGCCCCCTGAGGGGCCAAGGGCCCCCGATTAAGAACTTATAGCGTATAGGAAGGATAGGGAGTCAGTCTCGCGCATTCCAACTCATGAATATTGCCGACATCGGCAGAATAAAACATAACTCTGACTCCAACTACAACAATGTGTTCCTAAACTTAGACTCTAATTCTTTAAGTAAATTCAAATCAAAATCTCAATCTTACTTTATCAAAAACCTCTGTGGTTTGCGTTCCTTTCCTTAATGTTACTTTATCCATTGACTTGATCTTTGATTCCAATTTCGCAATTTTCTTTCTCATATCTTGATGGATTTTGTTGTTTTTCTTTGTGTTTTGTTGAATCTTATAAAGAAATATCAAATTTATAGTTTAATTAAAAATAGCATCATTAATGTGCGTGAAAAACGAGTTTCTGACAGCTCAAAAAAGTTTCAAAAAGTTTCAGTCTGTCCTCAAAAGATACCGAAAAAACGAGTCAGTTTTTATGTTTCGTTCATGGCGTGGCAACTAGTTATTTGAGATCCTAGGTAGCGTTGCTGTGCAAGTAAATAAGTGGATTAGTGGTATTTTTTTCGGTCGTGAAAGCAAGCACTACATTATGCAATTTATTATTTCGCGAGATTACAAAAAAATTAACAAAAAAAATAGCGTCGCTTGGAAATAGAATGGTCTATTATATAAACTGCGGTCGGCATTCTTTTCTAGCTCGCGAGCCAAAATTAAAGGTTACAAGTTATTGGCCGACCGCACATATTTTTAGAAAGTTAAAAGCCGAACGGATGGCCGAGGAATCACACTTTGTCACACAGATCAAAAGTAGAAGTTAAATTTTAAGCAGCGCGAGAAGACTGACCATTCAAATATTTTCGGTGCCCTTAAAGGCTTAAACCATTGCCGCTTAGCATCAACTTTTCTGCGTTTTGTTGCCATTTATCTAATTATAATTAAATTATAGGCTCATTAAACGCGTAATTGTGAACTAAATACTCGTTAGGTTCTAATATAATTTAGTCTACACGTGTCACAAAATAAATTCTGTTACGTAAAGATTATAATCGTCAAAACAGCTTTTTTGTTACCATAATTCAGTGAAGCGTCACGGGCCGGATTACATTGCTCTGCGGGCCGGATTCGGCCCGCGGGCCGTAAGTTGCCGAACCCTGATATAGGGTAATTACCAATACGCCAATGAGGTGGTGTTTCCCTACCGCCAACTGCGGAGTCACATCAGATAGAATCGTGTATAAAGTTAGCTTTACCTGATAATTTCCTTGTTTCAACGACTCGTGATCTTCTCGTAATGATTTGTGTTTTGATTGAAGGTCTTGAAGTTTTTGCTGAAGTTCAAATTCTTTGAAAACATACCTAGAAATGCAAGTTATTTTACTGGATATTTCTTAGAAACTCAGATGTTCACAAATTGATTGAGACTGAGTATTAACTTTTTATTTTATGTGAATATTGTTATATGATATACTAGAACCTAAATCAAAACTACTCGAATTGAAAAAAACACCCAGAATGTATGCTGTAAACCAAGTTGCTGTTTTGGCATTTAGTAAAAAAAATGATCCTTGCAAAGGCGCACACACACAAGTTGAATTTTTTGGTCATCAAATAACTTATATAGTTTGTTTTTTTACAAGTTGTAAAATTTTATAAAAAAAAATGCATACTTGTTCATCAATTTGAATTAATAAAATTGTTGTATACTAAATTAAACGCAAAAATTACACCCTAGACAGAAAATATTGGATAAATATTGGATAAATAGAATCCAAATAGATTGAGTTTCAAACAGAATACTTTGTCCTGTGGACGAGACTGATAACTCTCTATTTCTAAATGATACGAAAGTCTGTTTAGGACGAAATATTCATTTCATCAAATTGATTCTGAACTGCAATTTCCTTACTTGTCTTTTTCTTTTCTGATTCTATCTTTTTCATCCGTCATTTTCTTCAAATCGTCTTTTGTATGTTGGAGTTCTTTCAATATGTATTCACCTATTGATATTTAGGCTTGATTACTTTATTTCTAATCAATAATTTGGATAGTATGTTTGTATAAAAGTTTGTCAAAGCAAGGTCCCAACTCTGAACCCTTAACTGGGATTTAAAAAAGGTCTGGTAGATAAGTTGCAAACACCTATACAAAGTATCATTGCGACAGGAAGTCAGTGAATATCAGTTAACTTAAGAATTGGATCAATTTGACACTTTGAACTTTGGACCTATCTCAAATGAATTGTAAACCTATAGTTTTATTCTGGTGGGGACCTCATAGCCCACGAACAACTTATTCAGTCAGTCATGCTCGCTTCATCTTGATATAAAGTGCGATACCAAATGCGAGGACGGTGTCTTGCATGATAACATAGAAACATATATATAATCAACAATATTTTATATAAAAAATTTATCATTATACAGCGTGCCCATAAATAATCTTTAAAATTTCAATTTTGTTATGGAGTCAGTTGTCAATATATCTCAACCAGGTTTGGTATTTTTAATCAGTAATTGATCAAGTATTTATATTGCATTTAATACATCTGTGAGACCCAAAACAATATATGATATCGATGAGTTCCCTTCGCCACTTTTAATTTTTTTAAGACTTTATAGACATCATATATAGGAGGGATAAATTATCGATGGACTACATCTAATATATCTTGATATAAAGTATAATGTGGCTTGATTTTGTGTAGTAATTCACAAAAAACAGCGCATTTAGAAGACGGTGTTATGCATGATAACATAGAAAATGATTGCGACTTATCGAGAAATCTAAGAAAGCAGTTTTAGCGGCAAACTAATCAGAAATTAAATTATTTAATATATATAAAAACGATTTTGATTGAAAAATTGATTATTATATATGTACAGGGTGTCTATAAAGTCCCTTTACAATTTCAATTTTGTTATAAAGTCAGTTCTCAATATATCTTAACCAGGTTTGTTTTTTAATCAGTAATAGTTTCATTTAATACAAAACAATATATGGTATCGATAAATTTCCTTCGCAATTTGAAATAAATTAAGACTTCATTGACACCCCATGTATGGAGTGATCAAAAACAGATGGACTACATCTCTAATATATTTTTTTTCCCAAATATTAGAATCCACTCACCGTCACCTCCGTGATCCTTCTTCATGATTTGCCATTCAGCAACTATTTCTTCGATTTGATCCATCGTTAATTTATCAACCGAGATTTCGCCGTTCAATAACTGAAAACATAAATATTACTTTACATTAGTCAGTCCTCCTCAACGGTGATTTATATTCTTTCTCCGATTGTCTGATCGGACGTACAAAATTTTGATATACTTTCTCATTTATTTCTTAGGCGTAGGCGAAAAAAGCCATATGAAAAACGATGTCTCTCGACGAGTTGTAATGCGGGCGTGATGGCTTGATTGTAGAGTTCATGCTTCTACATAGTATTGTTCGGAGTGATGCTGTGAAAACATTACTCTTGTAGCGTGTGTACCAGCTTCGAGTTGGGCCATAATTTTATTCCGATTTTTTTTTTCATTTTAGTTCGATTACGAGTTCGGGCACAGGCTTTGTTAGCCAAGTGGATATACCGCCTTACCGTAGGTTTGAGTTCTTTTACGCAACTGCGCAATGTAAATGAGACGAACAAAATTAGTTACCTCCATTTTGTGACATATACTTCTGGCGCGCGTAAAAACATAACATAAATAAACTACAAAAAACTTTTCAGTCAGTTCAAGTAATTTTTACACACATGCGTGAGTGAACTATAGACGTTTTAGAAACAAACTACGAATTATCTAAAATACAAATCAATATGAATAAAACACGGAATGAGGGATATCATAGACTGAACTATATTGTATTAGATAATTTGAAAACTTGTTTACCATTTCATGGAAGGATGGAAAACAATTCTAGCTTTGGACTCAGAGCATTACTCTGTTTTCAAAACATTTTACTATTGAATGACGCACTTAACAGTGAGTCACGCCATTGTGAAGTGTATAAACAAACATTCTCGAGACATGGAATACACAAAATCGATGATAACGAACCAGGAATGGCAATAATACTCTAAGGTCAATACCGAGAGATTGTAAGTTTGTGAGTATGCTAAAGACTGGCTATGCCGTAAATCCAATAGTGTAGTTTTAAATATTAGGCCGTGTTTAGTTTAATTTAAACAAGTGCTATTTATGAAATATTGATGCCCAATACCCAAACTAAAAATTATGTACGCGAAACCTTGAATTCTGTATTGAATTTGACATTGACTGTCAATAATAAAATAAAATTTGATTTGACAAGTTTATCTATTCAACAATATTGAAAAGTATATTATTATTTAAAAATATGTTAACTAATTATCAACCAAAATCCCAACCTTGGTCCTCAAACTCCTATTCATCTCATCAAAACTAGCCAAGTGACTCCCGCAGTATCCGGTGTCCGCCATCTTGGTTCACATACTTCGGGAGCACCCTTATTTTCAGGTTAGGGCTTATTTTCGGGGAATTATTATTTATGCTACAAAGCAACATGTTACCAACCTTCTGGTGAATGTCATTCAGTCTTCTTCTGTGTATGACGGGAGTCGAAGCTGTGGTGGACGGAGAATTAGGAGCTGATTCACGGACTTCGATAACTTTTACTGAACTACTGATACGAACCTGAAAGTGAATGAAATAGCAATAATAACTCACTTGGAAAATGATACTTGGCTGATGATAAAACTTACGCAGCTTTCGTACAAAGCCACCACCAAAATAACACTCCCGCCAACGCTTAAAATAAGAAAATTTGTAATTACCGCATTTGCTCGTTTTGTAGCCCGGGCCCATATTTTTTTAACCAAATTCACTAACCGGGCCCTTATTAAAGCACGGGCGCTTATTAATTAATATACTGTCATTTCCAGTTTTCAAGTATGATTTAAGCGAGAATAACGAAAATTTTGACTTTTTCTACGCACCGCAGGTACAAATCCGCAAAAGAAGAAAAGTTTTGCGACGCCCTATCAATATTGAAACGACGCACTTGTAATCAATACTATCTGCTATGTAATTGAACGCCTAAGGCGTGAGTGTTATCTACCAGCGCTTAAAATTCAACAGCGTTGTCACAAAAGCGCATCTTATCCTATTCACTGAAAAATCAGCTTTTACATCGGGCGGGTATTCAAGCCCCGGCCCCTATTTATTTTTATGTTCTGTTCACACGGGCGACTATTCAAACGGGTCCTTAATCAAGATTGGGCGGTAAAATGAGCATATATATATACGGTATCCAGTTCGGGTTAAGGTCAGGAAGGCAGATAGCGTTGGAGATTCGAATTTACATAATCACACTTAAGCCCAATGTTTTAAATCGGGGCGGGGTTGTTTTTATCGAATCTCACATATTTGCATCATTTGCAGGCACTTTGCACAATATATCCAAATATATTACGTAAAATTTTTTCAAATTACTTCTATAACTCGAACGTTTTAATCGAAACATGTGTTTTTCTCAAATATAACATTTTTGCATTGGTGGCGGGGGATTTGCACCAAAAGATCCGAACATATCACTTATTTGCACGGTAGTATATTTAGAATAGAGTTCGTAGGTTTTAAAGTGAAGGGCACCGAGATATACAGCTTGCAACTTCACATGAATTTATTATACCAAACAAAAATGTACCGCATAAATTGTCAAATTTTATTGTTATACGAGGCAGATTACTTAGTCATTTCGTGTATGCTTTTTGGCAAGTAGATTCGAAACACAAATCAAACGGTAATAATATAAAACCTATGTTGTGTCATAAACAAAAAGAAACTCTCCCTAGCCACGCATTCACTATAATACTGTGTATATATGGAATTGAAACATTGAACCTAAATTTCCTACAATCTGCAACGAAATGCGATTTCAACTAACTCCTTTGCGGATCCAAACTTTCATAAAACCTATCCATAAGAATAAGAGTTTGTGGATGTTAGAGTGAAGAAGCATGTGATGGCATGAAAGTACATGCGTTGTAACTTTTCATCAGTAACGTACCTTTTAAATTGTTCTTAAGGTTGAAGAAGAAAAACTAATCATTTTTATCAAACTAAGATATCCTCGTGGTGTGATATAGTAAAACCATATATACCTTGCGAAATAGGCACTTTTGTACTATACATAGAATGAACTGAAAAACTCTTTTTCACAATTCTGCATCTAACTGCAATTTCTAATACGTTGTATTCTTTTAATATTAAAAATCCGGGTTTGCCTGTGATTGCCTAATAACTTTCATGAACCTTATACTAGAAGTACCAACGTCTTGTATATTTAGATATACTAGAAATAGGCGTCGTGTCTACCACAACAATAAATTATACCGCAAGTGATCGGGAAAGAATAATAAACGACCGATTGTCTTTATCTGCGCGGATGTTCGAATCTTGCATGGTAGAACCATATCATAAGTGGAGGTATGAGTCGTTATTAAAGTGGATAACAGATTGGAATCCACAAGTTTCTTAAGTGCGTCACGCGAACCTAATCGACCTTTTTAAATCAAATTTAAGTGAATACAGGGTGTCCATAAGGTTTTATAAAATTTTAAAAATGCAAAGGAAATTTATCGATACCATATATTGTTTTGGCCCTCACAGATGTATTAAACGAAGTAAAAATACTTGAACAATTACTGATTAAACAAACCTGGTTAATTAAGATATATTGAGAACTGACTTCATAACAGAATTGACAGTGTGAAGGAACTTTATGGACACCCTGTATATAACATTAAGTTAGTGATTCTTTATTTTCCACATGACTACCAAAATATTTAGAATTGTGACATTTCATGGCAAGTGGAACTTTTTTTATATTCATATAGACGAAATCAGAATTGTCACAATAATACACCACAATAACACACATTCGTGAACTCTTTTTACCACAAATGGTAGGATAGATTAACGCCGAAACAAAACAAACCGAGGGCTGGCAACGGATGTGTCGCGCATGTTCGAATCACACTTGATAACTCCATACTGTATTCAAAGGAGATGAATCGTTCAAAGTGACAACAGATTAAAAGCCTTAAGTTTCATAAGTGCGGCATACCAGACCAATTGAACTTTACAAATGAGGTTTGGATAGATTATTTAAACGAGCTGTTTTCCCGCTATTTATTATCTTATTCAGGAATGAGATTTTATTATTAAAATATTGGCTCGTCCGACCGTTTTCAGTCCCGAATTCATAGTTTTCATACTTTCAACAAAATTAATTTGAAAAATAGACATTTCGTTATTTTACTCAAATCCACTAACGACTTTCAGATTTATGACATTCATAAACCTTAAACTATAGCAAGCAAACCCTTTTTTATTGTTTATTTATAAAAAGACTTAAAATTTTATCGGCGCAACAATAATAAAGCCGTAAACGTTTTTTACCACAAATGGTAGAATACAATAGCTCACAAACAAAATAAACTGCCTGTTGTTGTCTGATGTTCGAATCATACTTGTTAACTCCATGCTGTGGTCAAAGAAAATGAATCGTTCAATGTGACAACAGATTAAAAGCTTTAAGTTTCATAAGTGCGGCATACCAGACCAATTGACCTTTGTTAATGAGGTTTGAATGTCTATTTGAACGAGATCTTTTCCCGTTGCTTATCATTTCATTCAGGAAATGAGATTTTTTAATAAAATATCGGCTCGTCCGAACATTTCAAGCCTCAATTTCATATTTTTATCCATTTAAAATAAGATTAACTTGAAAAATAGACGTTTCGTAATTTTACTCAAAACCACTTAGCGATTTGTGACATTCATAAACCCTATAGTATAGCAAGTAAACCTTTTTTATTGTTTATTTCTAAACGCACTCAATGAGCGTTCTATAGGCCCAACAATAATAAATCCGCAAACACATTTACCACAAACGGTAGAATATAATGGGTCGAAAACGAAATAAACCGCTCTTGGTCTCTGTCCGAATCACACATGATAACACCATACTGTATTCAAAGGAGATGAATCGTTCAATGTGACAACAGATTAAAAACCAAGATGACGCACAACCTGAACATAGTATATGTACAAGCTACGGAAGTGCCCATATTTTTTATTCATGCAACATTATTAATATTAATAAATGAGTATTTCGTAATTTTACTCAAAACCATTAACGACTTTTTTGATTTATGACATTCCTAAACCCTATACTATAGCAAGCTAACCTTTTTTATTGTTTATTTATAAACGCACTCAAAAAACTTCTTATCGGTCCAACAATAATTAACCTGCAAACACATTTACCACATGTGGTAGAATAGACTGGCTCGGAAACAAAATAAACCGATGATTGACTAAAGGTGTGTCGCGCGCGTTCGAATCACACATGATAACACCATTCTGTATTTAAAGGAGATGAATCGTTTAATGTGACAACAGATTAAAATGCTTAAGTTTCATAAGTGCGGCATACCAGACCAATTGACCTTTACAGATGAGGTTTAGGTAGACTGTTTAAACAAGATCTTTTCCGGCAGTCTATTATCTTATTCAGGAAATTAGATTTTATTAATCAAATATTGGCTCGTCCGATCGTTTTTAGTCCCAGTTTCATAGTATTCGTTCTTTTAACAGGATTAATTTGAAAAAAAAAGTCGTTTCGTTATTTTACTCAAACCCACGACTTCGCGATTTGTGACATTCATAAACTCTATAGAAAGCGAAACTTTCTTTTTATTCATAAACACATAAATAAGCGTTTTATCAGCCCAACAATGATAAATCCGCAAACACATTCACCACAAACGGTAGAATATAATAGGTCGAAAACGAAATAAAATGCTTGTGGTCTCTGATGTCCGAATCACACTTAATAACTCCAACTCCATAATGTATTCAAAGGAAATGAATCGTTCAATGTGACAACAGATTAAAAACCAAGATGACTTACAACCTGAACATAGTATATGTACCAGGTGATGGTTATAAAGTTGTACGCCATCTTGATTCACATATTACGGAAGCGCCCATATTTTTTAACCATCCAACAGTATTAATATTAATAAATGAGTATTTCGTAATTTTACTCAAAACCATTAACGACTTTTTTGATTTCTGACATTCATAAACCTTATACTAAAGCAAGCAAACCTTTTTTTATTGTTTATTTATAAAAAGACTCAAAAAAAGAGTTTTATCGGCGCAACAATAATAAAGCCGTAAACTTTTTTTTTACCACAAATGGTAGAATACAATAGCTCAGAAACAAAATAAACTGCCTACGGTTTCCGGTATTCGAATCATACATGATAACTTCATGCTGTGGTCAAAGAAAATGAATCGTTCAATGTGACAACAGATTAAAAGCTTTAAGTTTCATAAGTGCAGCATACCAGACCAGTTGACCTTTGCAAGTAAGGTTTGGGTGTCGATTTGAACGAGATCCTTTTCCGTTGCCCATCATTTTATTCAGAAAATGAGATTTTTTAATAAGAAATTGTCTCGTCCGAACGTTTTCAGCCTCAATTTCATATTTTTATCTATTAATTAACATAAGATTTACTTTAAAAAATAGTTGTTTCGTAATTTTACTCAAAACCACTTTGCGATTTGTGACATTCATAAACCCTGTACTATAGCAAGCAAATTTTTTTTTATTGTTTATAAACGCACTCAGAAAGCGTTTTATCGGCTCAACAATAATAAATCCGCAAACACATTTACCACATGTGGTAGAATAGACTGGCTCGAAAACAAAATAAACCGATGATTGACAAAAGGTGTGTCGCTTACAAAATTAAACGAACACATATACAGGGTGTCCATAAGTCCCTTCACAATTTCAATTTTGTTATGGAGTCAATTCTTAATATATCCTGACCAAGTTTGTTGTTTTTCAATTAGTAATTGATGATTTTTTTCTTCCTCATTTAATGCATCTATTTGGGCTAAAATAGTATCGATAAATTCCATTTCAATTTTAAAACATTTTAAGACTTTATGGACATCCTGTATATCTATAATAGCTTGCGTAGTGTGGAGAAATTCATAACAATACATCGGAGAGTTCAATTTATATAAAGTTACCTTTTTAACAGTGCCCTCGTTCGACGCCTTCTCGTGCTGATCTTTCTCGTCCTCTGCATTTTCACCGTCAGGTGGCGGTCTATCGCCTTCTATGGGCATCTCCTGCGTAACGTCTTCCTCGGATACTTCGGCTTCGACTGAGCTTTCCCGACCCCATTGACCGTCTGTGGCGACCTGTGGTTTTTCTTCAACGATTTCTGGGGATTTTGGTTCTTCGGGTTGTTCTGCGACCACGTGCTGCTGATTCACGGTCAGATTTACGGTCTTTGTTGTTTGAGGTATTTGTATCGCGGCTGTGAATATGGATAAAATGTCATCATTTATTCTTTCAAAATACGATTGCTTGCTATAGTATAAGGTTTATGAATGTCTTTCAAAAACATAATTGGGCAACTTCTGATCTGCGATTAACCACAAAAGCCTAGATAGAACGCAACAGCTGGCGTGTCTGGCCGGGGCCAGAAATAGTGGGTTTTCAAGCGTATTGAGGGTATGAAAAGCGTTCCAAGCTACGAAAATTGCTTTATATATATGATAAAGAAAAACGCCTTCTTTTTATATTTCAAAATGAGAAGGGGAAATGCCGACCCAACTAAGCTACGTCCCTGCCGTGATGGGATGGCAATTGTTGATCCTACGTATTGCAGGTGAAATATCACGGGTTCTAGTACATGCCTATATTATATATCGCGAAGTGTTTAAAAAAGGTAATGTATGCTGATCTAAAAGTCTGTATTTTTTAAGTAGGCATTTCTCAAAGCTTGGTTTTTGAGCAATATGGTGCTAGCTAGATAAATACAGTAACATACATGATTCCCTGTTGGAAATATTGTTTAATATTTATTGCCCTGGAGCTTTTCATTTTTATCGGGCGACGATGTTTTGATTTCAAAATAAATGTCAATTTTTTTGCAGAATATTGAAGGGTGTCCATGAAATCTTAATTTTTATTTTTAAATTACGAAGGGAATTTATCGATATTATACCTATATTTTTTGGCCCTCACTGATGTATTAAATTAAGTAAAAATACTTAAACAATTACTGACTATAAAACAACAACAAACCTGGTTGAGATATAAGAACTGACTTCGTAACAAAATTGAAACTGTAAAGGGACTTTACGGACACCCTGTACATAAAAGTACGACCGAATTGAAAATGTAAAAACCGTTATGTCTCACCTGACCCAGTTAGCGACAAATCCAATCCCACATCTTGCCCTGGCGGAAGTGCGATTTCGGACGTTCGTCTCACCTTACCACCCTGAATTGGACTAGGAGATCTGAATGAATTAGTTTAATCAATTAGGATTAGGGAAAGATTAATTCCCGACGACAGAATGTAGTAAAGCAATTCAAGTCATAAGGTCAAGAAAACATGAAATGTAAAAAAAAAATGAAATTTTGGTAATAATGCAGGTGGCGGGAAAGGCATGGAAGATGACTTTTGGTTAAGACTACATATTGAATTGTATTTAGCACTCTTTGTATAATCAAACGTTTGTACAAGATCTGGCAGCTAGCAAATATTTGAAATACGTGTGGGAACAGATAGGATTTTTATATTTAGCCCAAGAGAACGGAAAGCCAATAAGGTAGCGGCTTTTCAAACTGGGGGTGGCGACCCCGTAGGCGGCCCGCCATGCATTTCAGTGGTCGCAAAGAGCACACTAATTTGACACAAAATACTATATAACTATTTAGACTTTTTTGATCTGAATAAACGTGTGTTTTTTTTTTTTTATCTCGAGTAGGCTATCTAGAATTTAAGAATTGACTGTGTCAATAAATTATCAAAAATGCATATTTTTAACTGTTTGGCATTTTGAACCTGAACAGGGGTCGCGATATTTTTTAATTTAATAAAGGGGGTCGCGACCTTTACAGTTTAGGAAGATATAAGCTGATCATATAGCAACTACGGTCTGCCGTCTGGTCACCTGACCATTTCGGACATTGGAAAAAAATTGACCAGCTATTCGTTTCAAATGCATGCACTTGTTCTTCTTTAAATAGATATGTATGGGTGTCCATGAAGTCTTAAATTTTTTTCAAAATTGCAAAGGGAATTTATCTATACATATATTGTTTTCGCCCTCACAGGTGTATAAAATAAAGAAAAATTCTTAAACAATTATGATCAAAAACAAACCTGGTTAAGATATATTGAGAACTGCCTTCATAACAAAATTGAAATTGTAAAGAGACTCTATCGATACCCTGTAACACTAAACTTACTTTCTGTCTTTCGATGGTTTTTCTTTGATCTTCGCCACCGGTTCCTCTGTCTTAGGTTGCGCAGTTTTTGCTTCGCCATTTTCAACTATAGCTGCGTTTGCTGTCGCCACCATTGGAGATCGCTTTGCAGATTTGCTGCAATATAAGCAATATGCATTAGGATGGAATTTACATATTTCTCCTGGGGGAAAGGAAAGGGATAAGACGGCTTAATCCTATGGTGAACCCCGGTCTCTCGCCCGGTTACCAGTTCATATTGGGTATGGAATTAGTTGGCCAGTTATTTGTTTAAAAAGCATGGACTCGAATGCATAGGCTTTGCGATGGCCTTTAGCGGTGGTCGGCAAATTTGCCCCGTTAACAAACTTTTTGTTTCCCTCGAGCGTCCTTACTTTTACTGCATAAAACAAAAAAAAATTCACAAATGTATCATCATATGCTCATGATGGTACGTTGCAATAATGGATGCTGCACGGCGTATAATTTGTATTAATACTTCTGTTACAATTCGGAACTCAGATCATACAATCCAAAATGCATTCGTCCTGGATTTTTCTATCTACGTTAAATAGCACCCGTGGTAAAGTTTAAAAATGCGAAGAGATACTTGGTTGGCAATTTGCATTCACTGTAATTGAAATGAGATACTTGTACATTATTATTTGAGTAAAAATAAGAGTTTCAGTTCTTACCAATTTGAAATTATTTTATTGAAACATTTTACGATAAAAACTATTCGTAGTTTTCGCGCGCGCCCCTGTTCAAACGGCGCCCATGGTACGAGCCATGTCTGCCACACTCTGAATACCCTACTGAGTTTGATTAACCGGTCATGATAGAGCACACAGAACATTAAAAAATAAACTCTATGGCGTCTAGGAATCCTTTTTTTTTGACCTGCTGAAAATTTGAAAATTGAACTGTCAAAAAATATTGCTAAGAAAAAGTTCATTCAACTTTGTCTGATGATCTGTATCGGATTGCTGTTTTATTAGTATAATTACCTAATATATTTTTAGACCATTTCTTATGTCTCAGAATCTTGTTAACAAAGTAAAACGGGCTCGTCCGGGATTTGAACCCGGGACCTCTCGCACCCAAAGCGAGAATCATACCCCTAGACCAACGAGCCGCACATCTAACCATAAGCAAAATGCGTAATAACAGACTTAAAAAAATAATTACCTCTACATTCGCTAATCATTGAGAGATCACACTAATTACTTAATATTACTCGACGTATTCACTGCGTTATTTGCCACCAAGGGAACGAGATGTGAGCAAATTAAAAAAATTACCCGAGTCTGAGTGCTTAAAATTATTTTTTTCTTTCGAAAATAACGGTTTTTGAAAACGAATCATAGTTCATATTGGTGTCAAAAATATTTGTAAATTTTTTTTTAAATTTATTCCCAAGACTTCGTAATCTTGTTTCTGTTACTTGAGTAGATTTAGAATTTCATTAAACGATTTTGGGTGAACTACTGGTTCACTCAAAATGGTTTACTAAATAACCCTTGCCGTGAATTAACGGGATGTACAAGCGCTTCACCTAATTTGAAAAAAAAAATACTCGAGTCGTCGATGAACAAACAGGAATGACACCTATTTTATTGGAACATTATTGGTTTTTAAGAAACTTTTGGGAAAAATCCAATTTTGTAGGTATTTTACGTCCGAAGTTACGTCAGAAACCTGAAAAATTAATTGATAAAGCTTTTCTGCTCCAATTCGGAATTCCGAATCACAATCCGAAACGAGAATCATACGTCTAACCTAAACCAACAAGCCGCGCAACTCTATCTCGCAAACTAAACACGCACTATCACCAACATACTTCTGTAAGATCTTGTCTGACCTTGTGTGAGCGTTAGTGTGCAGTTACAGTGGTTGTTCTTGACCTTTTATTTTGCATATTTCACCCCTTTTTCGATCAAGATTACAAGATTGGTGATCATTTATTAAAAATTCATCGAACATAGTATGAAGAAGTTCTCTCTAACTTAAGACGCAAAGTCTCTCTATCACTTTTCTGGAGGGTGACGAGAGGAGGTAAGAGTGAAAGCCGATTATGGCGAAAAGGAGTAGGGGAAAAAGTGGAGAAAGTCGGGTGGAAAGCAAAACGATTTTCAACATATTTCAAGGTGTTGGTTTTCAATTGGTTAAAACACAGGCCTACTGGTAACAATAGGTCAATAAGCCGACTGATTTCTCACAATCTATCAATAACACAACGTTTCTCACAACAAAACAGGCAAACAGACTTGGTTTTTGTTTACCATTCATAATTGTTTTTACAATAACATAATTTACCCCTAAGAAGGTAAGAGTTTACCCCCAGGTGTAAATTTTTCCCATGTTAAGTAATGCTGAGTTAGAGTCTGAATCATTCACAATAAAATATTAAGGTGCTCCCGAAGTATGCGAACCAAGATGGCGGACATCGGAGCGTAACACGGGTAACAGGTTAGGGTTAGGCGATAATTTTTTTCCAATTTTCCTTATTTTAGTCCTATTATCAGTTCGAAGACTAGCCAAGAGCCTCCCGTAGTATTTATACCTAAAATTATAGCCTAACCCTAACCTAGTACACATATAACATTCCGATGTCCGCCATCTTGGTTCGCATACTTCGGGAGCCCCAATATTAAATTATTATGTATAATATATATATATATATATATCCATTTTAAAGTGACGCATCTTGTTCGCGTGACGAAACGAAGAAAAGGGCGCTGAACAAACAATACCGGATTTCCGCTATTTCCACAAAATACTTTCAAGAGATAATTATTAGTCGAATTGTTTTTAAGCTGTTCGCCAAGGTCGGGGGGCGTGTGGCTCGTTGGTCTAGGGGTATGATTCTCGCTTTGGGTGCGAGAGGTCCCGGGTTCGAATCCCGGACGAGCCCATTTTAGTTTCTAGATTCTGGGTCAAAGTGAGTATTTTATCAAATACTTTTAATTTAATTTAATGAACAGCGATCAGATACGAATTTTAAAAGTCAATTGAATAAAATCTTTTGGAAATATTTTTAACACAAATTCGACACAATCGATTTGAAAAATTGTTGTTCTTGTTCATGTTGTAGTTGTCAAGATAAAATTTTTTCCACATTTTAAAAAATATTATTCCGGACACGTGTGCAGCTGCCAGAACGCAATATTTTCGCATAGTTTCATGTCGATGCAAGGGATATTTCAATAAAAAAAAATACAAAAGATAAAAAAAAATATGATTTGAAACAAGCTCTTGATTTAAAACAGATTGTGTTTTTAGAATTGATAAAAAGAAAAACTGTGGGTGACGGATTTCGATTGCGCGGCGAAACTAACAAAACAACGCTAATTAAACAATAGCTGATTTCCACTAATCTTGAGATAATTGTTTGTCGACTTGTTTTAAACTGTTCGACAATGGTGGTGAATGCGTGGCTCGTTGGTCTAGGGGTATGATTCTCGCTTTGGGTGCGAGAGGTCCCGGGTTCAAATCCCGGACGAGCCCGTTTTGGTTTCAGGGAAATATTTTATCGAATACCTCCAGTAGCACTGAGGAAACTTCCATCAGATACAAAATTTCAAAATCGATAAAATAAACTGTTATGGGAACGTTTCTGACAAAAATTTGAACTAAGAACCGTTTTGAAAATTTGTTGTTCTTCTTGTTGTTGTTGATAAGATTTGAGATAAAAAAAATTATTTTCAACAACGAGAAAAATTGCTTTTTAAATACACAACAGTTGGAAATGGAATTGTACTTTAGACGCTTTTGAATACATTTCAAATTCCTGTGTGACTTAGTAGGGGCCGTTATATTTCTCCATAAATTTTCTGAGTATCTTTAGATATCGATGGCAGCTTGTAATGACCATGATCGAGTTCAACAAAAATACGTACGGCTCGTTGGTCTAGGGGTATGATTCTCGCTTAGGGTGCGAGAGGTCCCGGGTTCAAATCCCGGACGAGCCCACTTTTGCTTTTAAATTCCGGGATTGTCGTTCATAAAAGATAGTATGGTGAGTGCAAACGTAATTGCAAACGCAAGAAGTAAAATTGTGGATCATTTTAAACAAATCATTGTAGTTCAGTTAAACAATTTTTTTTGATCCCATATTTTCAACCAGTTTAAAATTGGAATATTTCATGAAATGCTTATTTTTCTGTGCACCCCCATGCCCGATGCCTCCCACTCGGCATGAAATATTTAAGGTATCTAAGAAGAATAACTGATTTATTATTTCTATTACTGACAATCGTAGGAGACGCCGTGGTTCGCTACATGAATAAGCCTTTTAACGGCTTTACTAACCCTAAAATAAAGATGTAAATACTGTCCTATACACTTTATAAAATGCAAAATTGATTCAATGATTTCAGCTGAGTGAATGTGTACCACAGTTATTGGCAACACTTTTTCATTTATTTTCTGTACGTTTTGATTCTCACTTAAGGTTTTCTGAAATCAGTTTTATTTATTTGTTTTACCAATTATTTTATCGTCTTGTATTCTTAGTATGAAGTCAAAATGAACTTCTACTGATACTAACTTCGTTGATGGAGTCGGGATCACAATCTGCTGTGATTGCGGTTGTGGAGGAGTCTGTTGTGTATCCGGTTTTGTGGCAGCTGACTGTTGTGGAACTTCTCTTCTTTTCGCAAGTTGTGCTCGGAGTTTGTATTTCATGTTGGCATTTGCAGCTCCACCTTTACCTCGACCGCCATATTTACGGAGATCTGCGTTCTGTGACTGTTGAGCGAGTTGCTCCTGCAAAATTGATGTTATTTGGTTTTTATTTTATTTATTTTAGATAATTCCTCGATCGCCCCGACGAGTCTCACATGATTACTAATTGAAATGTCTCATTTATGTTTTTGCACTGAAAATCGTAGAGGGGTCTCATCAGCTAGATGACGTGAATAAAGTGTAACACGTTACCCGTATTATATAATTGTACGTGCTTGATAGAGAAATACAATTTATTTTATTTTGTTTCAAATACCTAAGGTCTCCTGCAGGCTTTAATGCAGTTGCGAAATTAATAGCGGTGTCGAATAAAAGTCTTGACGTTAATTACCCTTTAATTATTGCTCGTTCAGCATCGATTTTAAGTCTATATATACAAGTCATCCGGTCCCACAATATTAACGCAAAATGAATAAATAACCAGTCCAGACATCTGATACAAATAATTGGCTAACTAATCCCATACCCGATATGGACCTGTAACCGGACGAGGGGCCGAGGTTCGCTATACATGATTAAGCCGTCTTATCGACTTTCTTCTACCATGAGTAAAATATGTAAATCCAATTTTATTCTAACTGTCAGTTAATTAATCATTGTACTCACGTTAAAAATCAGTGCGATTGCTATTTGATTTTTTATTTCGCACACGAAATGCCTCTCAAACGGTATGCAAACGCATATCATTTTCATTTTCAAAATAAATATTTTACAGTAATAGATAAGTAAATAAAGTTTTGATCAATTTAGGCAGTCCGTGTAATTTTAAAGTTTTGTTTTAGTTAGCGCTCATTCAAACGTCATCGTGATGATCATCGCATTCTCACCGTCGTCATCAGTACTGTTTTTTTACTGTCGCTGTCTCTTTTCGTCCGTATCGTCGTTTCACGTGTTGCGTTTGATAGCGTTCCTCTAAGTACAGTGAGCTATTTACGGTTACATTATTTGTTATAGCAGTTTGGGATAGCATTGTTTATTATATTGTTATGTTCCCGCAGTGTGGCACATCGTGCTAAGCGTTAGGAATGCGCTCGCCATCGCACCTTTGAATCTCATGGGGATAATTTTGTGCGAGAGGATTGCTGAACTCCTCACCTCCGCCGGGTGTTTCACGTAACCGCTGGTCGGTTAAGGCTTCCTCCGCCATCAAGTCCATGTATCTGAAACAAATAACAAGCTAACTAACCCCATATCCGGCATGGACTGGTAACGGGACGAAAAGCTGTGGTTCGCCGTATGATAAAGCCTTCTATACACAAAGGAATAAATATCGAAAAGCCGTCTATCGGTTCCCCCTCCACCGAGATAAATATATAAATCATATCCTATCCTAAATCATAGTAGTTTCGTTTATAGCGTCCTAATTACTGTATTTCGAATTGTTCGATAAAACATTATGATATTTGCATGTCCACAGCTTGTATTGTATTGCGTTCGTAGTTTCTGATATTTCTGGTTTGTCGTGTTATGTATCTGTCGTTATGGTATCTTGCTGTTAAATGGGGTTGATTTTTGTAAGTATTAGTTTTATATTTTGTATGAGTTATCCTTGATAATTTATACGGTGTTCTTTATTTCATTTATATTTTAGTCAACCATTTTGAATATTCTCCATAAACGCGTCTGACCAAACGACTTATCATTTCCGGGTCCCAAAAGTAACAACCAGGCTGTAAATTTCAAATACGTATCGATTTCCGCCATTTTTTTATGTAGGCAAAAACAGACGACAAACCATTTTATGTCGTGCCGATCGGTGTTTGGGAGACTCGAGTTCCTGTTCCAGCGAACAACAATAAATAAGCAAAGTGATTCATAGTTCAATTAGTTCCCCAAATTAGCTAAGATTATTACGACAATAGATAAAAAGGTTTGATTCGATTTTAAATTCAAAATACAATCTTTTTCTCGTACTATCCAGCTGGCAAGGCCTAGGTGACATTTTCCACTCTAACTTATTCAAACACAGAATAAAAATTTCTTACTGTACGAACCGGTATTGGGAATACCTTCCTCTTTTCACAAAATAAAAGCGATTTCTCATCCCACTATGAAACAAAAAATTGGTAAAAATGTCCACAGATCACTTTATTCTTCAAAACAGAAAACTAAAGGAAAGGCGAAAAATTCTAACCTGTCTAAGTTTCTCTTGTTCCTCTTGTAACTTTAATTGTTCTTCGTGAACTTTGGACAACTCGTACAAAGCGCCGAAAGCTCTTTTCCCTTCAGGTGAGACAAGAAACCCAAGTAGGGCAACTCGCTTCTCGTAATCTGTCTCCCACTCCTGTATTGAAAAATTTAGGGTCATAAATAGAAGTTTCAAAGTTATTGCGTGTGGAAAAGAGAGTTTATTGTTTTGTTTGAAAATTTGAGGTTGAAAATAAAAATTATTTTAAGTTTCAAAGTTAATGTGTGTGAGAAATACAGTTTAATATTTGATCAAGCATTTAGGCAATAATCGTGATAAGAAATAATATACAATTAGGTTGATTTTGGTGTAAACTAGTCGATGGCATTATGACCAACCGTCATCGAGGTCATTCATATTTAAATCTAACGGGACGGATACATGACATACTGCCGGGCTTCCCAAACTTCCAGGATCTAGACTCTTTCAAATATATTAAAAAAATTTTCGCGAGCCCCTGTTCCGAGAAGCGTCGCTTCTCAGATGCTATGTATTCTCTCGGAAAGTAATCCTGAGACTTATGTTTGCACTAGTTTTTATAATTGTGTTGCGAATCAAAAGTCTAAAGAAGTACGATAAATATAGTACTTCGTGTTAAATTAGAGTACTCTTCGCGACCCTCAAAATTCGTTGCGCGACCCCGCAGCCCTGGCATACGATATACCCACGGAGTCATGGACTCTCGTCCGATTGTCAGTTTACCTGGAATATCTACTTTAGAACTACCCAATCCATTATTTTGAATTCGTGCACTCAAATAATACAGATAACACTATACGCAGCACTTATCTTGACCGCTATACGTCTTGCGCAAAAACGCATAATCTCGAGTTCAAATCATCTTGGCCACTTTGAGACAACAATTCGATACCCAAATCTGATAACTGCTTTTTGCGATACAAATCTGACCATTTACTACTTTACGGTGACTTTGTATCTATCACTGCTATACCTCTTGTGCGAAACGAATAATCTCGAGTGTATTTCCTCTTGCGCACTTTGACAATGGCGAACTTGAAAAAATTCCGGTCTTTCTCTAACTATAGTAGCTCGTCATATATAGAAGTGGATAATTGTGCAGAGTCTTGTTCGGGGAAAACACGTATAATGTAGCATACAAAACTAGGTACTCCCGAAGTATGTGAACCAAGATGGCGGACACCGGACCGTAGTATGTGTACGAGGTTAGGGTTAGTTTCCAATTGTATTCCAATTCTCCTTATTTTAATTTTATTACGAGTTCGGGGACTAGCCAAGTGACTCTCGTAGTATTTGTACCTGAAATGATGGCCTAACACTAATCTGGTACACATACTATGCTCCAGTGTCCGCCATCTAGGTCCACATACTTTGGAAGTACCCAAAAATATAATCGACGAAACCGCTCTGGCACGTAACGCCTTCAAAGCGCTTCTGATTGCTTAATTTGTGTGTTGTGTGTTAAGATGCAGATACTTTTTTTTAAATCTATTTTTAATATATTTTAATCCTTTCTGAGTGACGTTATTATATTCCCACGGTTTAACTTCCGATACTGCAAAAGTTTAATCAACATCTGATTGGTTAACGATACAATGAAACAGACGACTTCTGACAAAGACTAAAGAATGTGTCTGTGACGTAATAAGTAATAAATGAATACATTGTTGCGTAATTAAGATCATTGTTTGTAGTAATCGTCCTCGTCGACAGTTTTTGTTCCAATTGTCTAGTCTAGTTGTCGATGCCCAGCTCCGCGCGCCTTACAACCAAACAACCCGGTAAAGAGAAATTCTAATACCTGCTTGTGTGGAGACTTTTGGAAGCCTAACGTCGTATGTAAAAAAAAACATCAAATTTTTTAGCCTTAACTCAAAAATATATTTGTCTTTACTTGGGATTTTTTGTACAAAGCCCCAGCCGTATAACACCCCCGGCATAGCTAAAAATAAGAAAATTCTTAGTGTTTAGAACACAGATTGGACTGAAAATTCTAATTTTCAAATCCTTCCTGACCCCAACTAGATAATTTGTTAATACTAATACTAATTTGTTAGTTAATACGTGGCGGCGGTGTTTTCTCAAATCTCACGATTTTGCATTAATGGCGAGGGCTTTGTGCAAAAGATCCTTTGCTTGTACCACAAAACAAAAATCCTACCTACAAAAAACTTATCTATTATCAGCGCACGAGCATTTATGCCTAAAATCTGGAAAAACTAAGACATGCGCAAAACATATTCATCGACGTGCTATTATATGCTCTACCAAATGCCATTTTTCGTTGGACTATACCCCAGGACTTGAAACTGTCACGCATTGTCTGCTAATATTAACTATAATGACGAGAATATCGGTCGAAGACCGAAGACTTATCGATCGGAGGTTAGTGGATCCCCAAAACAGCGCTCTTACTCCATAGTGACACCGTGTGTCCCATCACTAATTAATTAATTAATAACTCGCTAATTATACGACGTAATTCATCGAAAATCAATAGGCTTCTGTTCCGAACTATGATGAATGCACATGCAAAATTTGGAGCAGATTCAACCTCGCTTTCGTGATATATCGCATGTATCTAACAGACAAACAAACAAACAAACAAACATACAAATACCTATCAACATACTTAACGATCTCAAGATCGATAAGTAATTACTCTTTATTGCTGTTTGATTACGGTATATCATGTTTTGTTTACAAGAAGTTAGACCATGATCAAACGAAACCTCACAAATATACTTTCTATTCCGTGTTATTCTCATTTATCTTTATAATAATATCTCATTCAAAAGTTCTTGTGGAAACTGATACATACGGATCCAAAGTAGGAAGTAAACAAGGAGAAAGGACTTGCAGTTTAGTGCACAATACCCTGGTTTTGCTTAAGCATTGTTTGTTAATGTTTATGTTAACATATCTTCTCGCCCACATCGCGCTCGCCACCGGCTCAGATTTACGATGGCACTCGGAGATATGAATGGTCCCAATAAGAGAAATATATAAATTAGAGCCCATAAACGTAGGTTATTGAAATTATATTTTTTATTTCATTTTCGGCATTAATATTTCGATTTCCCGATGACAGAGATGTAGGCTACGTATTAGACTGAAGTGGTTCTCGAACGATGAGGCGCGCCCGTCAAGGGGGCGTGGATAATTCTTTGAAGGGGCGTGAAGATAATTGAACATAACATTTTTGTAGCTTATTGTTAGCTATAGTTATTTTTGAGGTGGGACGCAAGACTTCTAAAAAGGGGCGCGGCTTAAAAAGTTTGTGAACCACCGTAATAGAGGCTCAATTGGATCATTTAGCTATATTTCGTTCGTTACTTTACTTCAAATCCGCTACGATATGAAATTAATTTTTTCTAGAACATTGTGATTTATTTTTATATTCTTACAGTTACCCGTAACTGAATGTACAGGGCCTGTTCGGATTGAATGGCGTGAATGTTGAAGTATAAAACATTGTGCCCCAGGGCTTCTCAATTGCAAAAGTATTGGCTGCATGCACATGGCCTCGTACCGACAAAAATAAATTGGATCGACCTGCTCCTAATCAATTCCATACACAATATTGTGATTTATTTTGATCTACTTACTTTCATGTCGTCCAGTACATCTTTGCTCATCATTTTAGTTTGTCTCAATCTTCCAAGGACTCGATCTATTCCCAACTGTTCAACCAAATGCATTATACTTTCCAATTTATCCTGTTTTGCTTTCGACATACGAACCATAATGCTTGATTTTTTTGAGTTATCCAAGGTTTAAACAAGTTTTTAATTTATATATAAATTGCTGTAAATGTACATAATATAAATAATAATTAGTAGAATCCGTGTTATTTGGTGCGTATGTTGGTGTTTTTATACGACGTCGTCATTCGCCTTCCGCTCCTTAAAACGCTCTGCACAAGAATTCACTGATAGGTAAGAAGCTAATATAGTTTGAATTAGAATATCTTCGAGTGTATCATTTCCTATCCAATTTATTACACTCTGGGTCGGGCGGTCAGCATTGAATATTTTAAACAAATATTTTGTTACTTCCGTAGTATATGTATCAGGAATTAGGATTAGGCCATAATTTTATTCCGATTTTCCCTAAGCTTTCCGGTTAACTGAGAATATTTTAGTTCTATTACGAGTTTGGTGACTGTCTGGTTAGCCAAGTCCATAGGTTTCAGTCTCTTTACACAACTTGGTGGAAAGTAGGCGAACAAAATTAGTTACCTTCATATTGGTACACATACACTTCTGGAGCGCCAATATTTTAACCTACGATGCAAAATTTTTGCTTAATTGAGAGTGTTTTGCAAACTGGTTTACATTTTCAACTTTAACATTTTGACTTAGAATGGTCAAGTATTCGCCGTTAATAAATATTCACAGCTAATTTTGAAAACTTTAGTCTACCCTGTTTTTCGTGGGCGTCTTTGATCACTGCAATTGAATTGAACCCTTCCGTGGGCAACATAACAACTGAGTTGTTCGAATTACACGTGAATTTTGCTAACATAACTGAAAACTAACAAAAATCATCCAAAATTAAGAAAACAAGTCAATATTTACAACCATGCTTGCGAGTTTAAATTTCCGGTACTTCAGTGGTATGTGTATCAGGTTAGGGTTAGACCATGATTTTATTCCGTTTATTACGAGTTAGAGGACGGTCTGTGTTAGCCAAGTGAATATACCCCTGCCCATAGGTTCGAGTTCTCTTTACACAAATAGTTGTAAAATAGACCAACAAAATTAGTTACCTCCACGTTGGTACACATAATTCTGGAGTGCAAAACTTCTAGTTTTTTTCGGTGCGATAGACTAATTGCTCATTGTCAAGGAGATAAACGAGAATATCGGTCAGAGACCGAAGACTTATCGATCGAAAGTTAGGGGATCCCTCAAAACAGCGCTCTTACTTCATAGTGACAGCGTGTGTCCCATCACTAATTAATTAATAACTCGCTAATTATACAACATAATTCATCGAAAATCAATAGGCTCCTGATCCAAGCTATGATAAATGCACATGCTAAATTTGGAGCAGATTCAATTTGGAGCAGATGGAGCGGTTTCGTGAGATATCGCGTGCATCTAACAGACAAACAGACAAATACCTATCAACATACTTACCGATCTTAAGATCGATAAGTAACAAGGAAGTCGATGCCTTTTCTAAAATGGAATTTTGTTGTTTCAGGGTATAATACACGCATATTACGCGGCATACTGAGTTATAGGGACAGGGAATAAGGGGAAAGAATTATTTGCTTTGAAAACCTTCTGATCCACGAAAGTAAATGGAATCTGAGAAAAATAGAAAAAAATAATGTAGACCAAACTTATTAATTGCAAAGCTTCAATTTACGAAGCAAGGCCTAACGTTTCATAATATTACCAGATAAACTTGCTTGCACACATTGCAAGCGGCTACAAATCGACTTAGTTTAAAACGACTTCAAAGCCGCAAATATTATAAGTATACTAACATTTATGGTGACTGTCGATAACACATTTTAATTCAATATCCAGTAATTGCGGAAGCTCATTATCTCTAAGTTAGTTCAGCATGCACTGGATGTACATCTAGAGCAGCACAGAGGGATGTCAAAGCATTGACATCTTTGTATGAAATAGTCAGTACTTTCAATATCACCAATACTTCAAAAGGTACTCCCGTTATTGTGTACCAGGTTAGGGTTGGGGCATAACTTTATTCTGATTTTCCTTATTTTAGTTATATTACCAGTTCGGGGACTGTCTGTGTTAGCTATGTAAATATACCTCTTGTTCATAGGTTTCAATCCTTTTACACAAGTTGATATAAATAGGTGAACAAAATTAGTTACCTCCATATTGGTACACATACTCATGGAGCGCCCTTTAAAGTATATTTAGCTTGGTAGGTAAGTATTTTCAGCGCCGGTTCACTTATGGCTCCCCCCACCATATAGCATTGAAGCTTAAAGACTCAACTTTTCTGCCATGAACATCCCTATTCTATTTGTGTTTTTACTCGTATGCTGTGTTGCAATGTGAGATTGCTCGTCATTTTACGTCTACTCTGTTTTAGATCTAATTTAGAGTTTTGGCAACTTCCTCGATTTCCGTCCTATCTTGTGTATTGTAATACTATTAACAAACTGAAGATCTGAATAAACGATCCCAGATATAGTTGTGAGTGCTGTTGATATTTATGTCTGAAGACGTCATTATTAGGCATACGGAACAAGCAATAGGGTACGGACACTTCTTTTGCCAAGCAGGGCCGCGGTATCGGAAAATCTTTACACCCGCTTCACTCCGAATTTACTATTGTATTTTACTAAATAACTACATTTTTATCTAACACAAACTCCAATTTCTAACAACTGTCAATCTTCCATTTCTTCATGCTCATTTTTACTTCATAACAGTGGTTTTTGACCTTTCTCATGGGGCGGAACCCCCATAAAACATATACCAGATGCTTGAGGAATTTAAATCGGCTTATGCACAAAAATAATCAGTTGGTTACTAAACTAAAATTAAAATACCTATGTATACAAATCAAATCCAATACTGGCAAATAATGAATGATCTTTAAAATGTCGCAAGTTTAATGATAATGACAAGCCTAATGGTTATTTGATTATAACTAAACAATATATACATGGGGTTTCCATAAAGTTCCTTTACAATTTCAATTTTGTTATGAAATCAGTTCTCAATATATTTTAACCAGTTTTTTTTTAATCAGTGTTTAAGTATATTTACCTAATTCAATACATCTGTGAAGGCCAAAACAATATATGGTATCGATAAATTCCCTCTGCAATTTGAAAAAAAGTTTCGACATCATGCAAACTCTATACATTTATATATAAATCAAACCTAATAATACTGGCAAAACCAATCATCTTAAAAGTGTCTCAAGTTTGATAATAGTGTCAACCCTGATGATTATTTTAGTATGATTAAACCTTATACATATACACGGGGTGGAAGCAAGAAAACAAAAAATTTGTTAAACAGATATTCATTTTTATAATACATAACTTTTACAAAATTTCAAATAGACTTATGTTATATTCCACTCCTAAATGCTGAAAATGTCGTCGTGCACTTCAGAGCAGTGTCTTAACCTGAAGTCATAGCTCGCGTAGCGTTTTAAATGATAATTTGTGGGATATTGTTCCTAATCAACCAATAATTATACGCTTCATATTCGCTATCTCATCTGACTCTCAAATTTTCTGCTTTTCTAGCGACCACCCTCTAGTTAATATGAACTCTCAGATTCGAAGGAAACCTATGAACTGTATTGATAAAAACACTGGTTGAAATCACCTGCTCTATAAGCTAGCATAGGCTTCCGTTTTCCTACGATGTCCCAACAAGCCGAGATAAGCTTTCTATATGATGTGTAATGTTTTGGGCCGCTGATGTTATTAAAAATCGTATTGTCCTTTCGTGGAACGAGTATTAAATTCCTATAGCTCTGCTTTGTGTTATACCAGCGCCTTCGCACGGGCTACATGTCACACAAAGATCTTCGCTTTTGTCTTTCTGGAAATTCTATACTCATGGTTGTGGTAACATCATGTTTCGCAACCATTACGTTGGTATAGAACACTTTATAAAAAGCTGTAAATTTATGTTGAGTATCAGGGCACTTCAAAGCCATTTTAAAAAACACTTCATGCCAGATTGCATAAATGAGGGTATGTTACCCTAGACCTGACATGAGCAAAATACCGCCCGTTGGTTAATTCAGTTTGATCCTCCTAATGCTGCCACAGCCAAACTAAAATCAAATTTTGACGTTTTAACCCCCAAAAAAATTTGGATTGCGATTAAGTTAGTTTTGGCACCATTTTTTGTCTTACACTTTTGCTTTTGTAACACTGTAATTATTGTTCATAAAATGTAACTTTTTTCGTCACACTTAAATGGCCAGCCCGTCTAGATGGGCTGAATGTGTGATCCCAGGTCCAAAAATATTGCCAACCCCTGGTCTAACCCTAACCTACCAAGATGGCAAAAAAGTTGATTTCTGCCGCTAGCTTACCAGTCTAAAATGTTGTACAAATACAAAACTCCAGATTATAAATTCTATATTTTCATTTCATTAGAAAACCAATTACAATTCTGCATAGAGACTTTTGAAAAAAAAAATAATAGAAGGAGGGGTTAAAGGTCAATAGAAGTATAGAAACAATGAAAGGCAAAGAAAGCACATGTTGATAAATCAATAAAATTAAAATTTTTAAATCGAAATAAGATTAAAAAAAGAATTTCAAATTATCGGTAATAGTGGCGAAATGTGTAATAAAACGCTTCGTGCCTTGTATATTTGGTTCTACGGGACAACTACTTATTCTTCATCTATGCTCTTGTGGGTACTTAAAAGTATGTGCACCAGGATGGCAGACACCGGAACGTCGTATGTGTGCCAGGTTAGGGTTAGGCCATAATTTTCAGTACAAATAATACAGGATTCACTTGGCTAATCACCGAACTCGTAATAGAACTAGAATGTGCAAAATTGAAAATAAATTAAGGCCTAACCCTAACCTAGTACAAATACTACGTTCCGATGTCCGATGCACATACTTCTGGAGTACCCTTTTGTGTCGCTGGTCCTGTAAGCATACATTGCTGGATGCTATAGCAATATTGAAGTAAATTCAAGTGATTCAAATATTGCCCTTTCAAATTGGCGTTGTTATTTTATTTCCAAGAGAGCATTTTTTTTTTTCAGAAGAATCTCCGTTACTAGTCTAATCTTATATGGAAATGAATAACTAGTTGGAGTCCTAAAACGTAGAATATTTTATTTGTGAAAATTTAGTGATAAAAAGGCGTATAAACGCATTTTTTTGTGAAGAATGGGTTGAAAATTCCATAAACGTAAGTCTCAACAGAGGACTATTTTTATTGGAAGAAAACAATCACTTTTCAAGCGTCTGTTGTACCTCATATTTCATATACATTTCGATTTTCACGTATTTGCTATATTCCTATATTGAGGGGGTGTATTATGAATTGAATTTTAGCGTTCAATTCACATTATTGGGAACATTTGTGTGGCCAACTCATTCGTTGGCCACGGAGCAGTAACAGTCTATTGTGAGTGATGGAAGACCTTTAAAAGATATACATGAGTTCTGAATTTATTAATTTGGTAAATTTTCAGGTGCTGTCGAAGTATTCGTACCAAGATGGTGCACAACCTGAACGTAGTATGTGTACCAGGTCAAGGTTGTGCGTCATCTTGTTACGAAAACCTCCAGAGCGCCAGTTTTTAAATTAAGAAAACATTCGATTTTTTCTGAATAACAATAATTGCGAATTTTTCAAAATTGCAATTTTTGAATCTTCTATTAGTTTGTGAAAACACAAATTTTCAGTAGCACTGAATTAGCATAAAGGTATATAAATTTAGATTTATTTCTGCGACTCTAAAATATGACTTCTAGCGCCTCAATTTACAACGTTTTTATAGCAGGGGTGGACAAACTACCAAACTACCAAATCCAAACCGTTGGGTAATTCAATCTGGCCCGCCTGATGCTGTCACAACCAACCTAAATTCAAATTTTAATGTTTTAGCTAAATAATAGCTCAAGAAATTTGTTGAGATTGTGATTAAATTAGTTTTGGCAAGAGGCTTATTGTTTTCCATTTTTGTTTTGGAAACAGTGTAAATATTGCGCATAAAATGTAACTTTTTGCGTCTCACATGGCCCGCCAGTATGAAATTTTTTGCCACTGATTCAAAAACTTGCCTACCTCTGGTTTATAGTGTCAAAAGAATACGAAATAAAAAAGAATTTTTTTTTTTCTATTTTAGTTTACACTCTCGTTGTTTCGTTATCCGAATTGTTTGGCGCCTCATCCGCGGTCAGCTGTCCATCATCGATATTATCATTTTCTTCTCCGCTAGATGATGCTGTTGAGTTATATTGTGATACGTTATCAATTACCACAAAGTCCTCATTTTCATTTGGCGGGGTGATTTCAATCTGTATATCGCTTGCTGGCAAATCTTCTGGTTCTTGGCGGAATTCACTGTTCATATTGTTATTATTGTCGTTATAGTTGTTGTTCAGATGATTGGCTATGACGTCATCGACACTGGTGACGTTACTTGTAATAGGTTCTTTCGCTGAAAAATTAGTAAAATTAATAAATTTTTGTGCAACGGAATTGGACCCCGAAAGGAAAAAATGCTGAGAACCACTGAGTTAGACTATGCTCTCGTTACACCTGGCTATGTGATAGTTGAAAGGAGATTCTGCTCGCATTTCTGTACACGTATTTTCACGCCTTTGGCTCATACCATGGCTCGCACACGCAGTCATTGATATATGAGCAGATGTTTATTAAAGAGCGGAATCTTACCGGTTGTGGGTATAGAGCTGGCGGAATTGAGTCTGGATTCGATCACAGAATCGATTCCGATGCCTTGGAATCGATTCTCAAGGTTAAAACTTGGATTGCAATGAATGTGTAGCGTTTTGTGGCAAGTCCTTCGCATATATGTATAAACTGCTTTACTGTTATGCTAAGTTGCTACGACGCCGCAAACTTCACTATATATTTATTTCTTGCTAGAAGCTAGAAGGCTGTTACGCTTATTTATTTCAAATATCTCTGTGGGTTCTGAGGAATTTGTTTTTTGTGCGATTTTGTATACTGTGACAGCTTAAATACCCATAATACTAAGTTTTGGCCTTCTTGTCCGCCTATATATTTGAAAATTTCTCTCACGTTTGAATTCATATGGTATTGCTTAGGTGGGATGTTTTCTCGGTAAAATATGTCGAGGTATCGAGATTCGGAATCTAAAATTTAGGAATTGGATAAGAATCGAATGGTACTCCTGAAGTATGCACACCAAGATGTCGCATAACCTAAACCCTAACCTGGTACACAACCTGAGGTCAGGTTGTGCGCCATCTTGGTGCGCATACTTCAGGAGGTCCAATCGAATACCTGTAAGTAGTCATACGTAGCATCCTTAGTTGTGGGAGACATGGGATTTGAGCCCGAGATTTAAATCAGTGATGCCGTCACAGTTTGGTTTAACTTTCACCCCTAGACCTCTGCATTCATTACAAATATAATTTTACGAACCTTCAGTGCTTATTTTTTTCTTAACACATTGATCATACGTTGGTAAAACGAACGATGAACGGCGAGAATCATCAATCACTATTTCAAAATCTTCTCCAGACACTGAAAAAGTAAAAACCAAAATTTCAGTCAATGTTAGTACTCTGGTAATATAAAGTAGGTGCTTGTATACCATCCAAAATGTTGTCAAACACTTGATTACGATCATATGTATTACGGTCACATGTATATTTTTACCAGATGAGTAAGGGAGCGCGCTTAGCGTTCAATTACGAGAATTTCCTGCTTTGTAATGCCAAAAAATTAGATCGAACGCTCGAACCACTAGAGCAGGCCTGCCCAACCTTTTTCGTCTCGCGTGCCACTTCACGTGACGAAATCGGTCGCGGGCCGCAAACGTTTGTACCAAACAATAATACCAGATAAGTCCTGATTTTGGTGTAGGTAATTACAAAATACATGAAAGGCGAGTTTATTAACATGAAATCAATCAAATTAATAATTGCTTTCTGGTTACTAGGTAGGGCTGGCAAAAAATTCGAATATTAGAATAGCGGTTTACTATTCGAATATCTGGTAAACGGGTCGTGGACATAACACTCGATCAAATCGAAGAACGGACGACCAAATCAAAGAATCAATCATTTGGCGACCACGCAATAAACACATCACGTCAAAGTTGAGTGTTATATTTGCATTATAGTGTTTTTATTCATTCATTTTCAGTAGCTACGATACTGCTTTAATGTTTAAATGAGCATAATGTGCATCAATGTCGCGGCAATATCAAGTGTTAGTGGGCCGTTCCGTAAAATTTGTAACAACAATACAAGTATTTATTGAAGTAACATAACGAAGATTTCTGAACGAATAGTCGATATATACTGATTTGTGACTAATCAGTAGCGATGCCATTACGTCAATTTCATCAGAATTATTGACGAATACGCAGTGACGACATTTCCAAAATCTTATTTAACGCGAACATAACATGAACAAAGTACAAACATAAAAAGACAACGAGTCCGGGGACCAGTAACCCAGATGTTGTTGATTTTTTATTTCACGATAGCGATAAAGACGACCAAAGCCGACACGAAAGAAAGCAATCAGAATGAAATTAATTTGCAAACTTAGGCTCCAAGTTCATTACTATATTTTCGCTCAGCGTTTGTTTCTAATGATCGCACAATATCTTTATAGTTCGTCGAACAGAGTTCACAGTTTTGCGGGAAATAAAAAAAAATGACGTTGATGTCCACCAGGGTGCAAGACTTGACACATACGTAATGATAAAAACCGGCATTTGAACGTAGATAGATGGCAGGAATAATTACACCAAAATCACGAAAGATACTTATGTATAGTAAAATGTATTGAAAATTTTAAAAAGTCTGCTTACAAACTTTATAGGGCGGGCCGCAAAAAACACTCCGGCGGGCCGCGGGTTGGGCAGCCTTGCACTAGAGCTATTTAGAGATGAAACAAAAATTTAAACACAACGAAAAGTATGATACATTCTTTTTTATTACGAGGCATTTTTTACATCGTAGCTACTAAAACTCTCTATACAAGCTGCCACTTAACAATGAGCTACTTCTATAACAAGGACCAGAATTCATACGGTTCACATTGTCTGTGCAATTCAATCACACCTTTGGCGGAATAAACAGTCTGGGAATATGTAGGATGTACTACATTCAATGTAGCACAAAGGGCCAAAAACTCTTTTCGTAATAGACGATTTTAGATATAGATAGTTAATTATACAGCAAAAGGATAGGTGAAAATATTTTTGTCAAAGTTAGTAGTTTTATAAGGTATAGCTGGTACTTTTACTAATTGTAAGTTTAGATTTGGACATTTATTCATATTCAAAATTGTGGAGTTCAAAATTATCTTATCCTGAGGCGCTTTGACACCACAAATCACAAATGTTCTTGAAATTTTGTTGTTTTAGGAGTAGTGAAATGGCAAATGGAGAGATGTATCTAAAATGGCGGGAAACTACTGAACCAGTAGACAATTTTTTCAGGTGGATATTGTTTCATTATTGTCATCTTATCATTTCGGATCTAATTAAAATCTCCACTTACAATCATATCCTAGATTATCATACGCAGGCGGAAGATCTGAAAACTCTTGTCTCCGATTATCTCGCATGTTTCTTCTGTGCAGTCGTCTCAATGCACCGAGCCTTCGAACAGCTCGTCGTCTTTCTCGATCATATAAACGCATATATCTGTACCTGGAAAATAGTTTAATAGTTAATATAAGCCTGTAGTCTGACTTATTTACTGGACGTGGGGTTGGCAAAAGTTTTGGACCTGAGGCTGCCCATACAGACTGGCGGGCCATGTAAGTGTGGCGTAAAAAAGTTACATTTTATGAATAATATTTACAGTGTTACAAAAACAAAGGTGGAATACAACAAGCCTCGTGCCAAACTAAATTTAATCACAATCTCCACTAATTCATTGAGTTATTATTGGCTGAATAACCAAAATTTGGTTTCAGTCTGGTTGTAACAGCCTTGTGCGGGCCAGATTGAATTACCCAACGGGCCGGAATTGGCCCGCCGTTTGTAGTTTGAGCTTTGAACTTAGCTCGGTACTCATAGTAAACATCCCAGATTAAAACTTCCTGTGTACCGTAACACAAAGTACGTAATGAACCTGGTATGCAATAACCATTGGCGTAAATACGTAAATTGGTGGCCATGGCAAATTTTGAGCAGAACGAACAGAGATGATATCGTTTGTTTTGTCTGCTTGTCTGGCGGCTCGAAATTCATAATTTTGAGAAAGAAATGTTCAAAATTTGAAAATTTTATATCAAATATAATGATTTCAGAATGTATTCAAATATTCGATTCGTTTCCCTGCCAATAACTCTTTGCGTATAACTGTGTGTGCTGGCGCAGACCATTGTTCAGAGCAAAGACTTGCACATAAAACTGTTAGATTAATCGCACAGTTATAACTTTTGTCGTATTTTGACGAACCTGTTCAAAGCCATGCAGCATGGTGCTAGTCCTAATAATATCAGGGTAATTCCAGCGTAAACGGGAAACTGTTCTCCATTCACAAGAAAGATAACTCCCAATAGTACAAATAAAAATCCACTTAGAATAGCTGTTACAAGATGTCCAATCCAGTGGTTGCGATAAAACTGGCAACATGTCATGTGTCTGCGATTGTCGGTCGATAAATCTTCGATCTCTCGGTCGAGATCTATGGAATCGCTGACGTCATCCCGCTCGGGAAGGTCAGGTGAGGTCGGGAAATTGGGGCACTCGACGGATATGTCCATGCTCCCGTGGTGAGTAGGGCTCGGAACGCTTAGGCTGTCAGCGCATCCTAAGTCGCCATTTTCAGTCATTTCTTCGGGGGATGGACTATTTTCAGTTGATTCGGGGTTTGAGTTTTCTTCGTCATTGTTTCGTGCCGGGGGTTGAGAAGAACGTCGACGCTCGTTCTGCGCTTGAAGATCTGTAAAAATTAGAAGGAGTAAATGTAAGAAAATATTCTTACAGTGTTATTTTTTTCTTAATTAATATAACATATAACCATTTTGAGTTGATTTATTGTGTATAACAGTATAACAGATTAATTTTGTTGGGCAGATTACGAATTCCAATATCTTCAATTTTAGAATGGCTATGCCTAAACAGATGCTTCTGCACAGCTGTACCTGGAGAAACGTTCCATAATAAAATCTCATAACATTACATAAAATAGCTGTAACAACATTTCTTATTTATACGATATCTAACAAATAGATATCAACTAAAATATGTGCTAAGGGGTTAAATCAACTTGTCGTGCGTCAAATACTTACTAAAATTAAAAACCTAATGAATAGATCTGGATATATTTACAAGCAAAAGAGATACATTGTTACTAGGCCTAGTTAACTTTTTTTTTGACTGCTTAGTTTGCGTTCATACCTAATTTTCAAGTTAGGAATGAGTTTAATGCATAGAAGCTCACCAAAAATTGGTGTCACTGGGTGTCCATGAAATCCTGTTACAATTTCAATTTTGTTATGAGGTCAGTTTTCAATATATCTTAACCATGTTTGTTGTTTTTTGATCAGTAATTGTGAGTATTTTTAATTCATTTAATACATCCATGAGGGCCAAAAAAAATATAAGGTATCGATAAATTCTTTTTGCAATTTTAAAATTTTTTAAGACTTCATGGACAGCCTACACCACAAACAACTCCGAATGTATTAAGAGAATAAATACTCGAAGTACTCACTTCGTTGTATAGTGTCATATTGGCGATCAAACTCCGCTCTGATACTGCTCTCCAGATTTACTATTGAAACAGCTCGTAATGCCATATTGCATGATTTATCAGTATAGTTTACAGTTAGCTGAAATATATGGTAAATCGAAATATTTATTTTGTTGTTGTATATGGCACAATACTCCTATGTAAGGTATTTACCAAATGCAAGATCACACGCACTCATTCAAAAGTATAGAAGACTTATCTTTGTTGTTATGAGACCACTGAAATGCCATAAGATACCGAAACTACGTATAATTATTGTGGCGAATTGCGCGTCAGTAATTGCGTGACGTGAGACTTAAGGTAATTCAAGGCAATAACAACTAGTAAAATAGCTAAGAAGTTAAAGCTACTCTACATGCATGTACATATCATATATACATATCAACCCCTCCCTGCCTTGCTGGCGATTGGGATCATACATACGTATTTATCCTTATCCTGCTGCTCATATGGTAGCCCACGAATTACTTTACATGGGAGACCTTTAAAATGACGATTGTGACCATACATACATATCTATCTCTTTTGCCTATATGGCATCCCAAGAATTCCCCTACAGAGGAGGCCTTTCAAAGTGCGATTGTGACAATACATACAAATCTATCCCTATCCTGATGTCTTTATTTGGCAGTACAACAATACTCCTACGTATACATCCATCCTAACAGGCTGCTATATCAATCCAATCTTCTATGTCAATTCGAATATACATCTATGAAGAAGAGCGTTAAAGCGGCAATTAGGTTCATATATCCTTCCATATTGTTACTATTCTGTCTATATGGCAGGTCGATTACCTTTTCCGGAGGAAGTCATTCAAATTGTGACTGGTAAATCTATCCATATTTTTGGGTATGTTTTGACGGTTTCTCATTATATATACAGGAAGCGTTCTCACAGCCGTGTTTTAATAACATGTTTTTCCTGGCTTTCTGTTACATGCTACAAAGCAATCAAAAGTTAATCTAAACGTTTCATGGTACCTCTACTGGGGAATTCTTCAGAAAATTTACAAAAAAAATAAATGTTTTCGTAACGTAGCGAACGTAAGCTTGATTTTTCAAGTATTAGCCAGGCGCAAAAAGTACCTAAATTTAGACCTTAAACGAAGACCACAGTTAATGTGATTACTAATCAGACGATTAGCTAGCGTTTATTCTCAATTTTGCGGAGCTACTGCGGGATAGTTACGTTAAAGAATTTGATAATATTTTCAGCCTACGCCCTACGGCGTCAAGAAGTTTTTAGTGACGTTTCTCGCCCACAAAACAAAATAACTTCACTTTAATTACGATATTAGCGTGAAATTCTCTCGATTTACTATCAAAAATGATTAAGAGATGTTAAGAATCGGACGGTATTCGAGTTCAGGATAAATTTGAATAAATCGAAAAAACGAATTGAAATCCTCACTAAAACGGATGACCTGGACTTATGTGGATGGGCTGATAGGCTGATATTGCTATTTTATATTATGATATTAGATATTGATTTTATGTTGATTTTTATTTGTCTCAAAATTTATTTTTAACCCGAAACATTTACGCGTTTTATTTTAAAAGTTAGTTGAAATGGAAATTGGCGCCCAAGAGAACGGTGACCAATAGGCCGTAGCCAACACTACCAGCAAGTGTTCAACAAGCCATGTTTGGAAATGGGCACAAAATAAGGACGCCTCATAGTTACATTTCATGTTATGAGGTTCATTTTTGTCGACACTTTCAGAACCTCTAGTTTTTTTCTGCACTGTTTAATTCTGCCCAATTAGAGTTCGGTTTTCTCGATTTAAATCCGCCCTCTAATTGAAGAATTAGATGTCGTTGCCAATCTATTTTAAACTTATTTTTAACGATCTATTTTTAAAAAGGTTAAAACTTCTAGAACGAAACGTTCGAAATCGTTCTTTCATTCAGTTTTTGTGATAAAACCTACTGACTCAATCAAAAGTAAAAATTGAAATCTGTTGCGCAAAAAATTCTAAATTTCTATACACCAAAATTTCATGAATGGTCTATATTCGGATGCCTGTCATGCTTGATTTCCCCTTTTTCGCTAACTATCGGAATAAGCGATAAACAACCATCTCATTTCGAAACATGGCAAAGTGCCACTCTCATCGACCCCTGCACAAAAGGACCAGTAAATTGTGAATCGACCTATATATCTCTGATAAAGGAAAATAACTTGCGACCAAAATGATCTTATTTTGGATAGATGTACATGATACACGCGTGACAACTTCATGAACACGCTCTTGCCACGTGACCACAACCCTTTATATGATAATATAACGTGATATTTGCAAAATTACTGAAACCATGTTTGTGAATAGATTGATGTCATTGATAAATGACCGTCGTCTGATCGAAAATATCTTTTTCGCGAACTACAATGAACTCCATCTAAAAAAACTCCCCCGAACTAACAGCGCTTTATATTACTATTTGAGTTTATTTTGATATGTTTCTGCATTTATCACAAACCACATTAAAGCAAAGTTAGTCTAAAGTTTTATATCTATGTCAATTATGTCTTATTGCCCGTTCGCTCCCTCCAGTCTATACCAAATAATATTGTATATGTGAACTATTTTGTTGCCGTGGTGACTGCATACTGGTTGAAATAATGTTAGAGAGACGCAAGTCAGTGACTCGAATGGAGTCATACTTATGGCACTTTAAAAACACTTGATGTGATTCGAGTCATCCCATCTAGAAAACTCAGAGGCGGACCCATCTAACTGCCACTTGGCTCATGACTCAAAAATGTTTCAGTCGAGTTAGTAAACAAATTTGATGGAACGGTACACTGCGGTATGATTCTGCATTATTAATGATCAAAAATTTACTTAATCAGCTATTAATCGGCTCGAAAGAGCAGCGATTCAATTTGGCTCTGGGACTCGATTTTTATAATTTGGTGAAACTCGTACCTGACTTGAGATTCGGATGACCTTTGACCCGACTTGGAACTCGTTAGGAACTTGTACCCAACAGCTCTCTACAATACAACAAACATCTCCGCGTGTGTATTGTGTGAAAATGTTTACGACCAACATACAATTCAAGTCACCTTCTGGATATTGTTTTTGACCAACTATTCCCGGAAGCTGAAATGCACTTATGTATTTCTTGTTACTCTCCAACCTCTAACTTTCAGTTCTGTTGTTGTTTTTAACACTGTTTTTCTGAAGTGAGGTCAGAATAAGTTATGTGTCGATAGCTTATTTGTCTTTCTCCGTCTGGATAACTATAAACTATGAAAGCAAAGCTAATACTATCAAAACAAAAGATTACATTGTAGCAAGTTTAATATTAGTAGCAAACTTGGAAGGTATTTAATTACACCTAAACAATATACATATAATAATATATATAATTCTTCCTTGAACTTATCCTAATTTAAACTCTAAAAGTAAACAGAGATTAAATAAATATTCGTGGGACAGTAACAAAAGAGTAAAAAAATATATTGAGTCACTCGCGCTTTCTTTTTGATTTCGTTAACCTCTCTTACCCCACGGTAAAAATTGTATAGACACCCATGACCAATGATTTTCCTAAATCCTCCTAAAATTTTAATTACCCCCTAATTTTCAGGTGTGGCACTATACTTTAATTTTCAATGTAAATAAATTGTATTTGAATCTTCAGAAAGAGACTCGTATGCCGGTGCAGATGATCGGTCGAATACTTAACACATTTCTATAAGTTACAAATAGTTTTATCACTAATAACAAAATATCTACTTTCTCCTTGGATTTGAAAAAAAAACTCAAATAAAAAACCGGGGCACATACTGCCCTTGACCTTAATTTTTTTACTGCCTATAATTCAATCCTATACATCTGCAAGACTCTCTTAACTAGTTTGATATAAAACCTCAATCACCGTACGAAGCCATAACACCAATTACTTTGAGGAATTTGCCCGAAGGGGAACTCGTGAAAATAGAGCGATGACGATAAAGTAATCTCATATTGATTGTCTAAATTGCTATTAAAAATATTCAGTATATTTACTAGTATGCTTGGTTAAAGCAGCACAGTGGGTCCGCGGCACCCCATTATTCCGCCTATACAGTTCCAAGGGTTTCAAAAGTTTCTATTTCAATCCGAAAGTATTATTATATGTATACAATATATATATTGTTTAACTGTATTGAAATGCCTTAGATTTGCCACAATTATTAAACTCGCTACACTTTAAAGATCGTTTTCTTTTCCGGTATTAGGTTTGCTTTTATATATATTTATAGTTTATTTAATCTACTAGACGATAAAATACAAATAATCTATTACATGAAGGTTCTTCTAGTCCAGAGCTCATCTATACTGGCGGGCCATGTAAGTTTGAAAATGTAAAGTTACATTTAATGAACCATATTTACAGTGTCACAAAAACAAAATTGGAGAACAATGAGTTTCGTACCAAAACTAAATTTAATCACAATTGCAACAAATTCCCTGAGCTATTTCTGAGCTAAAACATCAACATTTACAGTTGCCCGTAAACATCACAAACCAGAATTGTTCGTATCGCTATCGTAAGATCCAAAAAAACAGAGGTTCCCACCAGGTGACACAGGGCCCTCTAAGAAGGCCACTGAGGGGTTGAATGGAAGAGGGGGGCACCATGTAAGGCCAGAACTGATATTAAAACTGCCTTGATAAGGTTATTTTACATGATGTTTCCACTTGTTTATGCATGAATTTTTTAACCGTTATGGGATTTTGGAATCTACCAAGCATAATAACACTTCAATTACAATTGGGATGATAATCAGGAAGGGCCATGAGTGCTACAAGTCTTCGGAAGGGGGCCACGAGTCATAGGTTGGAAACCACTGCAATAGGGATTGAACAACAAGTTTTTATGCTTGAGTTTCGAAAAACGCAAAAATAGGAATGCAGAAAAAGCGGGTTAGTAGATGCGTCTGTTTTGACTACGAAGGCAAAATGGCAAGCATAAAAACAGCTATATACTATTCTAAGCCATTCAACAGTCTCGCTACACACCAGCACAACGGTATTATTGTAGAATTGTTCAAGAATTTTGCATCCCATTTTCACCAATTTCTTTGGTATTTCAAGACAAAACACTACACAACAAACTTGTGCCACTCAAGAAGTTTGAATGATTCTACAATAATACACTTGTCTTAGAGAGCAGCGAGACTCTTGAATCACTTTGGATAGTTACATTTACTCTTGCTGCAGCATCCTTGCATCATACGGACACTCAAGTGCATAAGGAGATTTAGTAGTTGTCACTAGTCGGTTCCGTATAATTATTTTGTTGTTGTGTTCTACGTTATGTATAACCTCAATCGAATTTTTTCCTTAAGAAATAATATACCTGTTCATTCGAGACAGATTTATCTGAACTCGTGTTCGAAGTGATCGGGTAAGGACGTCGAATGGATAAATTAAAAACGCAACAAAAATGATTTGTATTAGTGTATCAATCGAGAACTCAATCGCATAAAATAGTCAATTTAACTCTTGTTACAACATTATTATGGGCATACTGACCCACCAGTACAAAAGCATGCATGAGAATTGAGTAGAAGTTCCGCAGAAACCCATTTGATACAAAAAAAATGTAAAGATTACAGTTCCATACTATACATATCCTTCTAAATCGAATCATTGAGAAATAATACACCAGACACATTCGAATTGAGTGAACCCTGTTTCTTATTTAAACTGGTCGCCCGCAAGTCTGCATCTACAGAGCCTTATTCGCAGCGAAGGCCTAAAAACGTGATATTAAAAAATGAAACGTTACAGAAATCAACATGTACTAACTTGAACAGGGGCGTACCCTTTGCTCGTCGGAACTCTCCCTTTTTAAATCTAAAAGAGCCATTTTTCTTTATCATATACAGCTATTTTTTGTAGCTTGAATATTGCCATATATTGTTTTGGCCCTCACTGATGAAATTAGAATTACTACATGAAGTAAATATACCTAAACAATCACTGACTACAAAATAATAAACCTGGTTAAGATATATTGAGAACTGACTTCATAACAAAATTGAAATTGCAAAGGGACTTTATGGAGACCGTGTATATCCTCTTTCACTCAAATCCTCTCATTAGGCAATAATACACCTGCTTATCTGAGACACTTTCTAATTAAATAAACTTTGTTTCTCAATTGAGCTATTGTCGCCAGTAGGTCTGCTTCGTACTGCAAACATATACGAGTAAATAGTCGTTAATGATTTACAATAAAAGAGATAAACACTTTTAATTATCGAAATAGATAAAACATTACGCAATTTATTTGCTTTCCTGCAAAACAATGGCGGAATATATTTGCAAAAGAAAACTCTATTGATGTATACTGTCACATAAATCATCTCTGAGTTTACATACGCATAATTATTACCATAACCACATAATAAGGTATATGACGTAAGCTGAGGTTGCCAGGTGCATCAGTAGCTTAAAATTGATTTTATTTATCAGTAAAATAGATTAAGGTTCCAAGGCATAGGTGTGCAGCTTATGGCCCGCGAGCCAAGTGCGGTCCACAAGAAAAAATTGTGCGGCCCGCAGTCATTGACAATTTTGAATGGTGTGTGTCCAGCGAAACGAGTTTTCAATTTAGTTTAATCTGGTTCGTGCGACTAATTCCAATCCCTTTGCGTTGCACGGCCTATACCTGAGTCCAATTAATTATCTATGCCTATGAAGTTACAATGCCTATTGTGCCTGCAACTCCAGAAAGCCTATGTTAAATAAAGGTGCGGCAAGGGGTTTTACCCAGTTATTTGCATCTTCCCCCCTCCCCCTGTATAAAAGATTACAAACCCCTGCTTAAAAAGAATAAAATAGTTCAGTGGCATGTAGTACTATTGCACTACGAGTTCAACAAATGTAGATAATAAATAAGCTAAAAGTATTTTGTGGCTCCCACTTCATTCATTTAATGAAAGAATCATGAGCAAATAGCGCAAATATTCCAATAGGTTCCATTACATTTGAACCCACGTACATTTGAACCCACAACAATCACACCTGTATACTATTGCACCTATGGAAATTTTTTTTGTTTTACGGATATTTGAACCTATACTAACCCTAACCCTTGGATTTTAGCACCCGCATTTAGATTGAACCCGCGGATGCACACATGGGTTCAAATGTAAGTGGCTTCAAATGTACGGTCACTATTATAATATACTGCACAGCGGTTCTCAAACGACGGCAGGGCGCGCCCCACAAGTGGTGTGTAGATAGTTTTTTGAGGGGCGTGAAGCTAATTAAAAATAAAAACGTTTGTAGATTTGATCTTACCCGCCCTATTCGATTTTATAACTTTCAACTTATTTTAATATTTACGTTCCATCCACGTATTTTTACATGTTTTTTCAATGAAACATACTCACGTCTTACTATCTGTTATTTGTAGCTTATTGTTAGCTAATTATTTTTGAGATGAGGCTCGAGACTTAACAAATTCCAAAAAAGCGGCGCTGCCCAAAAAGTTTGAGAACCACTGATACTGCATAAAAGTAGAGATGATCTCTTCAAAATGTTAAGGCAACAAATAGTCATATGTGCCTCATCTTATGAAGAAATGTGAACCATATGTTCATTCTATCATATGATCAACCAGGCCATTTTCTAAGCAGCAACAATAGGTCTTGTTGCACACTACAACATAAACATGTCTCTCTAACGTTTCGTCTCACCAAAGTAAGACTTCCTGAGATTAACATAATTCAATTTGGCTAAACTGGTCGTTACCTAAATACCAGTTACGTAGTCTTTACTATGAAAAATCCTAATGGAAAAAACTTGCTGTGAGATACAAGCTTCGTAAATATACCTCTAGTCGAAACTGAGCCGATTTTGTCGTTTTACAACACCTTCGTCTGAGTGGATTTGACACATACTCATACGACCGTAGCGGCAATAAAAAGTATAAAAAATAAATAGCATATTTGAGTAACTTTGAGAACACGTTCATGTACTGTTGCTATTCGTGAATAGTTTTGGATGAGCGGTTGCTGGATAGCGATGAACAGTGCTGCAAAGAAGTACAAGGCACTTGTATAAACAATGAAATTCTGGGTTTAATTAATACGAAAATTCCGCTAAACCTACAATTTTTATTGTAGCATTAACGTCACCAATCATTGAAATACCGCGCTATTCAAACAAAAGCTACTGAAGCGTATATAAGGAGGCG